TCTCTCTCTCTCTCTCTCTCTCTCTCTCTCTCTCTCTCTCTCTCTCTCTCTCTCTCTCTCTCTCTCTCTCTCTCTCTCTGTGTGTGTGTGTGTGTCTCCCTCTCTCTCCCTCCCTCCCTCTCTCTTTCTTTCTTTTCTTGATCATCTTCTCATAACGAGACGATAAAGTATCCTTCCTCTTATCGCAATCATGTATCCAAGTGAGATATCATGATATAACGGAAAATCGTCAGCCTGGAAAGATAGAAAGGGTAGAGTTTTCATTTCTCTCCTAAGGAAGGTAGCTTCGAATCAGCGAACAGTTCAAAAATTGCGTTTATTTATTTATTTTTCTTTTCTTTTCTCTTCTTTTCTCTTTTTCCTCTTTTGTTTTCTTTTCTTCTTCTTTACTTCTTTTCTTCTTCTTTTCCTTTTGCATCAGAAACTTACTAGTGACAATAATGTTGCTCTATACACTTGAGTCCCCTCGCATATGCATAATGCGGTGACGGTCCTTCGTAATGGTGACAATAGCCGTTAGAATACTACAAAAAAATAAACATCATTCAGTCAAATTCTTGCTCTATAGGTAGGTAGAAATCATGTATAAGGTAGGTGTTTATAAGGTACCTTTGAGTTTGGTGTTGTGCAATAATGGCAAAATTCTTCACAGCCATCTTGATTTTCTATCGGCAAGGCGACCCAGGCTTTATCACAACTCCCGGCAATCGGGAACAAGAAGAATATAAGTGCTATATTCAACAGGAGCTTCGTGATGTTCGTAGGGAGTGTTCGTGGCATGGTTGCTGGACTCGTCTAGTAGCTGTAATAGGGTCGGCGAAGAAGCCTTTAGGGATTGGAGGATGTTGTGGCCCCTCTTGCTATCTATAATTGCTGCATACTGGGTTTTGTGCCCTACAGTACCGCGGAAATGAGTTTCGTACTTATTATTGCAGAGCTGGAACTCCAACACCGGTCAGGGTTCGGAAAAAGCTCACTGCCTCCTAGCTAGTTGTAGGAGGTAGTCAGAACTCTATGCGGGCGGTCCCGTTATAGACCAGCGTTGTTGAACTTCATGTTTACGCTCTCGTGAGTCTCGTTCAGTAAAAAACTCGATGGTGTATTCGTCGCAAGGTTGCAAAGTGACTCCAGGATCAGTTTCGGCTCCGCTCGCAGAGCAACAATGAAGGTTTTGCTCGTTGCACACAGTTTACTGTTAATCTCCTGACAGGCATCGTGTCACCTAGGCAGGCTTGAGCCTTGTAAAAGCCCGAAAAAGCTCGAGCCTTGAGAAACGTTGTATCATGCTTCATCGGGAGCGTGCATCAGTCCTAGTCAAACGTGTACTCGTGTAGTCAAGGGTGTGACGGTGTCAGGGGCCGGGGTAGACGGCTTCAAGGCGCGGACCAATTCTTCGAGAGAGGTCTTTTGCCTTCATTCGCGAATTTGCAAATAAGCATTTTCACTCGCAGTAATCCACATGTAGAAAATGTTTCTGTTTCAGGCCCCCTCTGTGTCGAAAGAGTGGGATCTATTGGAAGAATTGGACGGGAATCCATTGATGCCAGCTGTATGCTATAGCAGTGGCTGTTGGCGAACTGAAGTGGAGGCCAATTGGACATGTCGGCGGCAATATTCGCGCCAGTCCGGTGTGAGGGCTTCAGAGACGACTGGATGGTAATCTCAGCTGTCTTCCCCCTTCGCCTCGATGCCTTTGGCTCTTGTCACCTCGTCTGATGATCGCTCCTTCAAGAATCACACCCACAAACTTCTGATTTGCTGATCCGCATAAATGCCATTCGTACTTCACACCATCCTCACCTCCTTCTCCGCCCTTCCACTTTCTTGAATCAACCCAAATACTCCCTCGACGCCCAATCTCTCCACCACGCCCTTCTTCAAGCTCAAATGCTTCTCAATAGCCTCGCCACTCCTTCCCTGCTCTCTTAACGTCAAGATCTGCCTGATGGTATATACATCCAAAAACTCTCGCTTATTCTCCCTCCCCCGTCGTCCAGTCTCTGCAATCTCTGCATCGGCCCTACTAGCCAGATCCGCTCGAGCAGAAAGCACGAGAACAGCGGGATTGAGTCTCGGATCGGGTTGTCGTGTTGTTGATGAGGACGAATGGCTCTGATTGAAGGCTGATGTCGGCGAAAGCGTAGGATTGGGTTGAACAGGACCTAGATTGCGGAGGGATTGCGCAAAGTCTGGATCGGAGGCATCGAGGTTTATGGCGGCGTCTCTTTCGCCGCTGGCGCTGGGGGCTGGTCGCACTGTTGGGCCTGGTTGTTGTGGTGCGAATGAGGGTGGTGGAGGAGGAGCGGGAGTGTTGGTTGTTGCTGACGCCAGTGGTGAACGAGCTGGGTATTTCCGGGCAGCGGAACCAGCTGTTTTGGCTGCTTTAGAAGATGCGGAGCCCATACCGAGAGATTCTTGGTCTATTTTCAATGGGCAATGCAGTGGTAGGTACATGAAAGACCGTGATCGAGTGTCAATCACGAAAGTTGCACGAGAGTTTTGATGATGAGGTCATCAACACCATTGAAGCACCTGCACTTTCTTTCGTACGCAAATTCAAATGTGCAAGAGCAGCGAGAATATATCAGCCTCAGGCGTCGTCGCGTACCTAGCGATCACAACCATAATTTACTTCTTGAGATCCCGCACAAAATATACTGATCAATCGACCGAGAGGTTTGCGCGTCGTTGTGCCTCTGATATATCGTGTCCAGCCTTCACATGCCCGCCCAAGCACTCCCATCCATTGAGTGAAGAAAGTCTCGGCCGAAACTCGCCTTGAGACTTCCACACCTTCCCATATCACTCTTCAACTCCATCTCGTCCTTCAGTCACTCCCATCACCTCAGCATGTGATGCCTCTCATATCCAGCCTGCTCCGGCAGGCTCCCCGGCACCCCCTCTCCCTCCGACTACATGTACCTCCGCCGCACCTCAGCGCCGTCCTCGGAAGACATATCCGACCCGCCAGCTCCGCAGCTCTCGCAATCCGCAACCAAAAATCCAGCCCTCTCTATCCCGCCACAATCAACATCTACCGCAGCGGCACACCCGCCACGCTCAGTGTCGGTCTCACTCGCATGTTCACGCTCGTCATCTTCCTCGTCGGCACGACCATCTACGCTCCCGGGTTTTACTTTTCGCCCGAACACAGCAACTGGTGGATCCCAACCTGCATCGCCGTTTCCGCGACGCCTGCAATTGCAGTCTCACTACTGACGGGACCGATGATTCATGGGATTCGCGTGACGTTGCCGGATCACGTGCGGCGAGGAGGGAAAGATGGGTTGAGGAGGTGGAGTGCGGAGAGGAGGGGGAAAGAGAATTTACCGATTGAATTGCAGTTTATGAGATGGGCGCCGTGGCCAAAGACGAGGAATTTGGAATTTGGGGAGCTGAGGAGATTACGGCCGAGTTTGAAGGCCGGGATTGCGAATTTGCAACATGTCCCTCGGGAGGAAGTGGGAAATGATCCGATGGCGGCGAAGAGGGAGGATCATCGGTTGTTGGCGGGATTTATGAAGAGGTGGACGTCGAGGTTTTATGTGAAAAGGGATCAGGCGATTGACCGCGCTGCGGTACCCGGAGTATGGGAGAATCTGTGGTATCAGATTCCGTTTGAGGAGGAGGGTGAGGGTTATGGTGGGAGGAAGGAAAAGAGTAGTGATGAAGGTGCTGCAGCGGGAAAAGGTCGCGCAGCACCGCTGAGGCCTCTTGTGCCACCTATGAAATCCATTGCGAGGCCTTGACAGGAGTGTCTCTTGAGGGGAGATTGACAGGAGTGTCTCTTGAGGGGAGACTGACAGGAATCGAGCGTGACTTTCTTGTAGCCTGCCTCATACGAGACAATTAATGTAACCTGTAGAAAACCGGAACCAACCAATCGAAGCAACTTTGAGACGAGAGAGAGAGCGAGCGAATTGCACTCATGAGCCCAAGGCCCTCCATTTTTCTCGGACACACAATGATGATTACCTACCTACCTCCATGAATGTCCCGTGCAAAGGTCAGGTCAGGTAAGGTACTTTCCCTTTCCCTTTCTTAATATGAATAATAAGCTCTATAGACGACGGGATTTCTTTCTGAGGTACCTACCTACCTACCTAGGGAGATAAGATGAGGGTGAATAAGGTAAGTAGGTAGGTATTACAGTTAGGTATAGGTAGATTCTATACCTACATTACCTTACATTACCTTACATACCTGTATCTATAGTTAAGGTACCCAAGGGTAGATTTTGTACGTGTGAAATCAAATTGTACCCTTTAGGTACCTTACCTTACCTTACCTCGTATCCTTAAGGTAAGGTAGAGTTCAATTGTGCTCGAGCTTTACTTATATACTTGCTGCTCAAGGGTCTTTTTTTTTCTTAGAGTACTAAGGTAGTACTGTATAGTATCTATCTGAATAGTTCTATACCTTACCTTACCTTACATCTCCAGAGTAGATTTGTACGTGAATTCAAATTGTATCCCTCGAAGCTTTGAAGTTTGAGGGACTTTTTTTATTTTTATTTTTCTAGAAAGCAAGGTTCTTCTACATACTGTACATATATACTTTGTACCTACCTAGGGACCTGCTACCTCTAGGAGGGTACTTATACCGAGTCTAGCCGTTCCGTTCCGCTATGCTTAGCTAGCTTAGACTTAAAAATCGAGCGGAAAAAAACGATTGGACACCTTGTTCTTCTGCTAGCTGGATGTACAGTACAGTATAAAAAGGAAAAAGGTACGTTTACCTTAGGTACCTAGACATGTAGGAGGTAGGTAGGTAGGTAAGGCAAGCCTAGTAAGGCAGCAATACCTAGACTAGGATGTGAGAGATTTTTGCTTCTCGTACTGTTTTGAGGGATATAATTCCGGGTTTCCTTTCGTGTGTGGCAAATGTGAGGTACTGCCCGTTAAGAGGTAAGGTAGGTAAGAAAGATAGCAGGACGATGTGTAAGTGGAGGAGAGCAGTCGAGTACACAAGGCGATAGGTTGTAGCTCCGAGATCAGGTAGTGTATCCTAGAAGACCCAACAAGAGTCGGCAGGGAGAAGCATGCAAAGAAGATGTATAATGGAATGTTCCAATCGCCGGGTGCATGTGTGTGTGTGTGTGTTACGTACGTACATGGGGTTTTGTTTGGGTAAGAGAGAGAGAGGGAGGAAAAAAAGTTCTAAGCTCGGTTAGGATATCCCGATGTAGAAGAGAGGCTTGGGGCCGGTTGCCGATGTACCGAGGGATCTCTCTTACATACAGCCGGAACGTCCAGGATGCATTGTATTATTAACAAGTGTGCTGTAGGAGATATGTACACTCGACCATGGAACGGTGGTCGGGCCAGGTCAGGTAGAGAGAGCGAGAGAGAGAGAGCGAGAGCGATATATTGGACAACAGGTGCAATTGATTGGAGGTTGCGGGCCGACTACTTCCTATCTATTAGTGATGGCATTTCGTTTTATTGTAGGAGGTGTAGGAGAATAGGTGCAGGAGTGGTACCTGGTCTATGAGAGATTTATGTACCTACGTACTTACTGGGTCTGTATGTATGTGATAGGGCTGTGAGGCGTATAGCAGGGCAGGCCAAGAGATGCTTGTTGGTGCAGGGCTGGAGAGCTTCTTTGCTCTTCGTCTTCTTCTTCTTCTTCTTCTTCTTGTGCTTCCACTGGATGCGATGCACATGGGAGAGAAATCAAGCAGGACAAGCACAAGCAAGACTCACAAGAGATGCTTTACAAGCGCCACGGCCTTGGTCGGCTTTACTTTTTTTTAACCTCCCACCTCTGCCAACACTTCGGGGCTCCCATGGACATGGATGATGATGATGATGGCGGTGATGACGTCGTTTCTGGTTGATGTCAGGATGGGAGGATGGAAAATAGAAGCTAAAGCACTCCACCCTGTCACCTGTTGTCCTAAACCACTCTCCCTTCTCACGCATTGGAGGGGAGGAGACAGTATGTACCTCCTAGGAGGTAATGAATGGAAGCTTTTCCTTGCCCGCACTGCAACTCCTGCAATGGCCTCTGCTGCTGCTGCTGCTGCTGCTGCTGCTGCTTATCTTTGCCCTCGTTGGCGCTCCGACAGAATGACCGACGTGACGTTGATTCGCTCTACCTCCTACTACTGTCTTCCTATCAACCCGGTGCCACTCCTTCCGTACCTACTTACCTACAGTACCTTATGTACCTACAGTGAGGTAGTAAGGTAGTACCGGGCCAGTGGCAGTGGCAGTGGCAGAGAGGAGACTACCACCTTACCACCTTACCACCTCCACCCTACCAGGTCCCTCCCAATCCCCTCGACATCTACCCGACCTCACCGGACCGGTCCTGTCCTGTCCTGTCCTGTCTGGACTCTGGAGTCTCGCGTGCACGGTGGTTTCCGCGCACATGCCACTTACATGTACTCCCGGTCGAATATGACACACTCCCACTGCTAGTTGATGCTGCTGGTCCACTGCTGGCCCACCGCTACTCAAAACCCACTCCATCGCCCGACTCGACAAGCTTGTTCCTTCTCACTATTCTCACTACGACTGTCAACACTGAACTCTTCCACCTCCCACTGACCACCGACCACCCACCATTTCCCCTCCTCTCCATCTCGCTGTCGGCTCATATCGCGCTTGTATTGGACCATGTCTGCTGGCGTGACTGAGTATGGCGCCGTCCGCAGCAATGGGGGCTATCGCGGGGAGAAGCCATTGAGCGACGAGGCAAGCGGGAGCAGCATGGCAAAGGATGCTGAGAAGATTGACCCCGAGAACCAACTGGGCGCCGTCGTGACCCTCGCGGAAGGCGAAGACAAGTTCAAACGACTCAGCTGGCAACGACTCACCATCTGTCTGATTGTGGAAGCCATCGCCCTCGGCTCCCTCTCTGTCCCTTCAGCTTTCGCCACTCTGGGTATGGTTCCGGGTGTCATCATGTGTGTTGGTCTCGGTCTCATCGCCATCTACACCTCCTATGTCGTCGGACAGGTCAAGCTGAAGTACCCTCACGTCAACGATTATGCCGAAGCTGTCCGGTTGATCTGGGGACGCTTCGGCTACTGGCTGACCGCTGTCATGTTTGTGCTCTTCCTGGTGCTGCTGGTCGGCTCGCACGCCCTGACGGGTACCATTGCATTCATCCGCATTGTCAACGAACCCACCATTTGCGCACTGGTCTGGTCCATTATTTCCGCCATTATCCTGTTCGTCGTGGCCTTGCCTCCCACCTTCCATGATGTCGCCATTCTCGGCTACATTGACTTTGTCTCCATCATTGCTGCCATCCTCATCACCATCATCGCCACTGGTGTCGAAGCACACCAGGCTCCCGGAGGCCTCTCCGCCGTGGACTGGCAGCTCTGGCCAGAAGAGGGTACCACCTTCTATGCTGCCTTCCTGTCCACTACCAACATTATTTTCGCATACTCCTTTGCCGTCTGCCAATTCAGTTTCATGTCGGAGATGCACACTCCCAAGGACTTCGTCAAATCCATCTGGGCTCTGGGACTGATTGAAATCTTCATCTACACCCTGACTGGCGCTCTCATCTACGCATTCGTCGGCTCGGCGGTCAAGTCTCCCGCTCTGCTCTCGGCCGGATTCACCGTCTCCCGCGTCGCATTCGGCATCGCGCTCCCCGTCATCTTCATTTCCGGAAGTATCAACGGCACCGTCGTGGGCCGATACATTATGGACCTGGCGTTCAAGAACCAGCTCGACATCAAGTACATGAGAAACAAGAAGGCGTGGTGGATCTGGATTGCTCTCATCGCCGTCATTACCATTATTGGCTGGATCATTGCCGAGGCCATTCCCTTCTTCAACGCCTTGCTCGGTCTCATCTCCTCGCTCTTCATCTCCGGCTTCACCTTTTACTTTCCCGCTCTGTTCTGGTTCCAGCTCATCAAAGAGGGCAAATGGCATCGGGGCTGGAAGAACATTACTCTCAGCATCATCAATGCGCTGGTCCTTGTCATTGGAGGCATCGTGCTTGTTGCAGGAACATATGCCAGTGTGCAAGACATTATCAACCAGTACAATTCTGGTAATGTGAGAGGAAGTTTCACATGTGACTCTTCATCGTACTCGTAGACCACTTGAGGTTCGGCTCGAGAGAATCCGACGGAACAGAAAGAAAAAAAAAAAGGCATGGCGATGGCGCTGTGATGGTCGGGTGCTCATTGGGAAAAGAGGCATTTCACGTTCTTGGACATAGTTGAGAGGAAGAAAAAGTTGCACTGTACATAACGAAATGACTATGAATGATACATCAACACTGATGCGCATCAGCATGCTCCCGTACATGCAGCCTGTATGACTTGCTACAGGCCACAGAGGTAGGATACCCTTGATACATGTCTTTGCCTCTTCTCCAGCATCTGCCATAGAGCCATAGAGGAAGGAAGCACAATAGGTACTTAGCTATATAGCAACAATAATCACACTGAAAAAAAAAGAAAAAAGAAAAAAAAAGAAAAAAAAAAAAAAAGAAACAGCGCCCGAAAACATAGCTCCTAGACATACACCACTCAGAAGAATTCCGGCGCCGGCCACTACACACTCCCATCATGGACCGAGTAGGAGTACCTACTGACCGACCGACCGACGATGGGCACATCACATGCAACCAGACAACTAGAAAACAAGAAATTCCAGCAAAGGAAAAAATGGGAGGTAAGGTATAGGAGGTAGGAGGTAGGACGTAGGAGGTAGGAGGAAGTAGGAGGTAGGAGGTAGGAGGTATGAGGTACCTACCTAGTACAGTACGACTTTTTTTTCTGGCACGCGAGTCTCTACAGACTACAGTATGAATATTTATTAAGGTACATGTAGTACTCTCCTCCACTTGTATCTATAGTCCAGTTACGCATTAACGAGGAAGGAGAATCGCGTTGCTAGCACTTATTACTCCCGCTATAGTAGGTAGGTAAGGTACTTTTATTACAATATATAGCGGGCGAATTTAGGGGCATTGATAAATGGCGGGCCCAGAAATTCTAAATGGCGGGCAATCTAGCGCCAAGCCTCAGAAGGTCACGTGTCAACGACACTCCAATATTCTACGACACCTCAATATTTGCCTCCTCCAACATATAGTATGTACTACATACACATACACACACTCTCTCTCTCTGTCTATATACGAACCTCTCTATCTTAATATAGAGACACCCGATGTGACGCGCGCGCGCTATACTAACAGACGCCGAGCTCGACGAATCTATTAACAGACTCCTCGACGAGAGCGGTACAGCCGCAGAGGCAGAGAATTTATCGACTAACCCAGTAGCGACTGATCTACCGGACGCAGAACCGAGCCAATTACAGGCCAGAGAAAGAGATGGACTTGGCGGAGGTAATAATAGCGAAGAGGGCGCCAATCGCTCCGAAATCGCGAAATCCGTGGGATTTGAGTTGTGTATGTATATGTGTGTAGGGGGACACGTGACGCTCTGAGGCTTGGCGCCAGATTGCCCGCCATTTAGAATTTCTGGGCCCGCCATTTATAACTCCCCGAATTTAGGAGTTGTTTTTTTTTTTTTTTTTTTTTTTTTTTTTTTTTTTTTTTTTTTTTTTTCTTTTTTTCACTTTGTTTGTATTTTAGTCCTGAATTGAATTGGATTTGGAGGAGAGGGATGTGTGGTTTGAAGAGATAGAGATTAGGGTAGGGTAGGTTATTGTTTGGGGATTTCGTATATGTTGTATAAGGAAAGGGAAAGCGGTGAGATGAGGATGGGGAAGAGGAAGAGGATGAGGATGAGGATGAAGGTAGGTTATGCCGAAGATGTTGTAGAGGAGTTGGCATGGAGATGGGATTGAGATGGGATTGAGGAGGGTGGTTGTGAGAGTACCTTATTGATTGTTTTTATAGAGATGCCAAATATTAACTTCTGATCCAAGTCCTTGTATTTGATAAGAGAAGAAAAAGTTGCCTTTTACGAATCCTTTATTGATTTTGCTACCTTTATTCTTCTGCCGGTATGATGAAAAAGACTCTAAATTCGATTTTACAAGAGAAGTCTACAGAATTGTTACTAAACTCTTTTTTTTCAGATTCGCTCATCGAGGAGGAGGAGGAGGAGGAGGAGGTTCAGAATGGCAGAATTGTTGTTGGGGCTCAAATATGACATGATTTGGCTGAAAGTTTTGTCCCGGCGACAAAAGAAAGGGTAGGTAGATTTCTTCAGGGTTGATCGGATGGATGGATGGAGTTTTTTGAACAAATCCTTCGGGTATTAGATTTGGTTCAGGGGGAGGAATTTATGCGATTGTGTGAGACTTATAGCGGTTTTTTTTGGAGGGGTTTTTTTGGATGAGGGGATTTTTGTGGGGAGGAGAGAAATAAGAGGAAGAGGAAGAGGAAGGAGGGAGGGTGTTGATGAGAAGGGAGAGGGAGAGGGAGAGGGAGAGGGTGATGAAACGGTGTTTTTTTGTTTGTGGGGATGAGAAAAGGGAAAAGGGAAAGTTACCTAACAAAGGAGCGTGTTGGAAGGATTCAAAAGTGCGATCAAGGAGGGTTTTGTCTAAGAGACATGTTTTGAAGTTATGTGGTTCAGGTTTCGGGAAATTCTGAGGACGGTGAATGGGAAGAAGATGGAGATGGTGGTGAAGGAGATGATTTCTTCTGAAGAGGAAGAGGAAGGGGAAGGGGAAGGGGAAGGGAGAAGAAGGAAGGTGAGTGAGGCGGTGGTGAATCCCAAGGCGGTGGAGTAAGAGAAGAGTAAATTATAACGATTTCCATTTCTTTCTTTCATTACTCGATTATATTTATACATCAAAAATACAAAGTCATAATCACCACCCCCCAGTCCCATTCCCCTCCCTCTCCCTCCACTCCCTCCTCTCCCTTCCCCTCTCCAAAGCCCCCTCCAAAGCCCCCCTCAACCACTCCGTCAACACAACCCACTTCACCCTCATCCCCGCCACCTCCCTTGGCCAAAAAACCTCCCTCCACAACCCCCTTTTACTTTTCAAAAACTTCTCTTCCAACCCCCTTCTCTCCTCCCAAACTTTTTCAAACTTCTCTCTTCCCTCTCGCCCCCGCGCAAAACACACTCCATACATGTCACACAGAGCTTTTTCTTCGACAACACAATCTCGAGCTTTGCGTTGCAGGAACACCCACGGCCAGAGTCTTTCCCAGATGCGCCCTGTCGTGCTGTCCGGGAGGGAGGTGGCGCCGAACCAGGAAATGTAGTGTGAGTATTCCGGGAGGGAACGCCGGTGGATTGCGTGGCGGGTTACGGCGAATTGGGAACAGCAGGGTGAGGCGAGGATTTTGGGGATGCGGAGGGATTGTGTTTTGTTGTTGTTGTTGTTGTTGTTGTGCGGGCCAGGAACAATACCATCGTTACTGCTGCTGCTATTTCCAAAAAGATCCCTCATAGCAGCAGCCATATGCTCTTGTTCGGGTTTAATAATATCATGCCAAGTCTCATTTCTCGCCTCAATCCAATCGGGACATCCAAATTTCCAACTGGTTCGTAAATTAAAATATTCGCGTTGTCCGTCGCCTGGAAAACCAAAAGAGGAAGAGGAAGGAGAAGAAGGAGAAAAAATCTTGGAAAGATCCAAATGCGTCAAAGCAAATGGGAGAGAATGTAATAAAGTCGAATCAATGTGCCAAGGATCCGGGGAAGCATGAGTAAAAATGGTAATATCGGAGAGAGAATGATAGTAATCGTGAAGATACGTCAGATAAATGAGTGCTTCGCGGCCTTTGTAAGGGATTGCGGGATGATAGGGTGCCGTGGAGGAGTCGCTGATGTAGCGAATTACACGGAGGTTGGGGATGGAGAGATGCGTGGTCCAGGAAATGTTGTCTTTGGAAGTCGTGGCGACGACGAGGGTTACGGAGGGGAGATTTTCGGTGGGATAGGGATAGGTGGTTAGGTCGAAGAAGGAGAGGTCGGATGGGAGAGGGAGGGAGTTGTAGTGGGTTTTTATGGCGGGGCGGATGCGGAAGAGGAGGAAGTAGAGGAAGAGGAGGAGGAGGAGGAGGAGGAGGAGGATAGGGCGTGTGGTTCGGGTGCGGATGCGCGCAAGGCCAGGCCAGTGGAGTTGTTTCTTCCGTTCTGTGTAGAGGTGGTATAGGTCATGTAGCTTGGCTTTTTCCATGTCGTGCTGTCTTCTCGGCTGGAGGCGCGGAAGCTGGGATTGGTGAATGGGGGACTGGATTCCTGTATACCGCTTCGCATCGCCTTCTTGTGTAGCCGCCGCTCAATGGTGGGCCGGATTGCGAAGAGCACCGCCGATGTCTGGATTGTGCTCTCTGGAGTGCAATGGCAGTAGCTAATAAATCATCTTCACTGTTAGCCTCTGCCGTCTCGTCTTTTGCGTCGTCGTCTTCAGCGCGCGAAGGACGTGAGATGTGAAAAAGGCCCACGTCGCCAATCCTGGCCACCTGGTGTATTTTCAACTACATGGACCCTGTTGATGTTAAGCTCTCCATGGATCAGCTTGCTATCCTTAGGCTGATCTTGATCTGACAGGCTTCACAAAAGTCTCCTTTGGAAAAAGACATGATTGATGACCTGCGTCTGCCTCGCTGGCAGTGGTATACACTCGACTGAGGAGGATGATGGCGACGATAAACTCGTATCACAATCACCCTAGTCCCTACCTGCGCCTGACGAGGTACCTGAAGTATATAACGGTGCATACACGACATGTAGCACTAGTATAGCACCCGGTTTATACTTCTTCTTGGCATTGTCACTAGAGCCTAGTCCAGCCCGCCCGAGACGGCGCAATTCTGGGGAAATAGTAGTCTGATCTCCTTGTGCTATCAGCTCCAGTGCAGCAGTTTTAATGCCACGGGATGATGCCCCTAGTGTGCTGATGGGCGACTCATCTACGGCGTCGTCATGGTCGCTGTCCGAAGGGAGACAGGGATGGTGGCACTCGGCCAAGGCTGTAAGAAGATATGCGCCGAGAAGTGTTGGCCGATTTGGGGAAAAAAGTAAAGTGAAGTGAGGTATCGGCAGGGCGCCAAGGTTACAGTAGTGGAGAGTCGGAGAGCAGAGTTTCTTTTGTGAGACCACCACGTACGTAGGTTGGCGTTATCGCGACGTGTGAGAGGGTGGTGATGAGCAGAGAAAAAAGATTGGCAAGGCGTGGAAAAGAAAGGGTAGCTGTGCCGGCGGATATGTCCAGAGTGCATCCATCCAGGAACAGGGACAGCCAATAGAATAGACACGTCCATCATGTCCGGAGATTCACTTGCAGATGTACTACCTAATCCATAATGGACTTGCTGACTGCATGATTATTGTGGACTCGACGACTCGTCCATGTATGTTGAGAGACAGAGGGAGACTGGGAGAGGGAGAGGGAGAGAGAGTAATGGGAGGCGGTTTTGGTGGGGGTTCCACAAACACACGGGCGGGCCCTCCTGTATCAGTCTGTCCGGTCAGGTATAGAGGAAAGGAGAGGTACATGTATCTTGGATCCATCCTCCTTTATTATATCTTCTCCTTTGCCTGTTTCTGACATCCTCCCTTCACTGTCCACTACTACCACCACCCCTTTCTCCCCGTCCTCTGTCTCGGAGTTGCACCGCTAAAACTCCACATTGCGTGTTACGCAGCTCCCCCCGCCAACACTTACTACGACCGCCTAGTCAGCTGAAAAAGTTGCTACCCCCACCACTTCTTCTTCAACCAAAACACCACCACCACCACACATTCTAGCAAAAGAGCTAGCCACCGACCACACACACTCTCCCCCTCGCACCGACAGCATCATGGGAGACTCTCTCGTGCACCAGGAGTATGGCCGCACGCGTGTGCAATGGCTCGCGTCCCTCAACACCGAATACCACCCGCCAAAGCAGTTCAGACGCACCTCCATCATCTGCACCATTGGTATGACTCCGAAGAGAGAAATAGAGATGAGACACATCACAGAAATGGGATGAATGTCACTAACGCGAGCCATCGCATTGCAGGCCCCAAGACCAACTCGCCCGAGAAGATCAACATGCTCCGCACTGCTGGTCTGCAGGTCGTTCGCATGAACTTCTCTCACGGCAGCTACGAGTACCACCAGTCCGTCATTGACAATGCCCGCAAGGCCGAGGCCACCCAAGAAGGCCGCCCTGTCGCCATCGCCCTCGACACCAAGGGTCCCGAGATCCGCACGGGAAACACTCCAAACGACGAGGACATTCCCATTTCCGCAGGCTCCGAGATCAACATCACCACAGACGACAAGTATGCCACCGCTTCCGACAACAAGAACATGTACGTCGACTACAAGAACATCACCAAGGTCATTGAAAAGGGCCGCACCATCTACGTCGACGACGGTGTGCTCGCTTTCGAGGTGCTGGAGGTGGTGGACGACAAGACACTGAAGTGCAAGGCGATCAACAACGGCAAGATCAGCAGCAAGAAGGGTGTCAACCTGCCCAAGACAGACGTTGATCTCCCCGCTCTGAGCGAAAAGGACAAGGCCGATTTGAAATTTGGTGTCAAGAACAACGTGGACATGGTCTTTGCCTCGTTTATTCGTCGCGCAGAGGACATTACCGCTATCCGTGAGGTGCTCGGTGAGGAGGGCAAGGACATCCAGATCATCGCCAAGATTGAGAACCAACAGGGAGTCAACAACTTTGACGAGATCCTCAAGGTCACCGACGGTGTCATGGTGGCTCGTGGTGATTTGGGTATCGAGATCCCTCCCGCCCAGGTTTTCATTGCACAGAAGATGATGATCACCAAGTGCAACATTGCGGGTAAGCCCTCCATTTGCGCCACTCAAATGCTGGAGAGCATGACCTACAACCCACGCCCCACCCGTGCCGAGGTCAGCGATGTGGGCAATGCTGTTCTGGATGGCGCCGACTGTGTCATGTTGTCTGGCGAGACTGCCAAGGGCAACTACCCACGCGAGGCTGTGACCATGATGCACGAGACATGTTTGTTGGCTGAGATTGCCATCCCGTACTTGAACTCGTACGATGAGTTGAAGAAGCTTGCACCACGACCTGTGCCAACCACCGAGAACTGCGCCATGGCTGCCGTGTCTGCTTCTCTCGAGCAGAACGCTGGAGCCATTCTCGTCCTGACCACCTCGTGAGTACCATGTTCCTCTTCCTCTCTCCCACACCATCCCCTCCTCTCGTGCTAACACATCCTCAGGGGTAATACCGCCCGCCTCATCTCCAAATACCGTCCAGTCTGCCCCATCATCATGGTCACACGCAACGCTCGCGCCTCTCGCTACTCCCACTTGTATCGTGGTGTCTACCCCTTCCACTACGATCAGGAGAAGCCCGACTTCAAGACCACGCCATGGCAAGAGGATGTTGACAAGCGTCTCAAGTGGGGCATTAGCAATGCCATCAAGTTGGGTGTTCTCAACAAGGGCGACGCGGTCATTTGTGTACAGGGCTGGAGAGGTGGAATGGGCCACACCAACACGCTGCGTGTGGTTCCAGCCGAAGAGGATCTCGGTCTCGATCAGAATGCTTAGGGTGGGTAAGTCCTCATGCCTTGGGTTGGTGGGAAGATGGTGAAGCTAATGGTTCCGCTGTAGAAGCCGAGGCTGACACTTCTCTGAAGTCGCGATCCCCCCCAGCCAGCACTCCACTGGCTTCGATTCGAAGCAAGATGCAAGGTTTTCCTTTCTCACCAGAGCCGCAGGTGGTGTCTGCTACTGCACCAGCAGCCTAGGCGGGCTCATGACGAGCGCATAAGGACTGATAGAGTTTACGAAGCAAAGCTCCACGTGGACTATACGACGATAGACGATACGCATACGCACAGGCATGAAGGGAGTCTATGAAGTGTATGAAGTCAAGCTGCCTGCTACTCCTTACGCGTCGCTTCTGCGTGGGAGATTGCGAGGAGATATGATACCAATGCTGTTTCCATGATTCGTTCTCACGTCTTTTTCACGTCTCCTTGTCTTCAAATGATGATCTGTGGGCCTGCCAACACAAAGAGTGTTTACTCTTTGACGAGCTGAAGGGTCGCGTATCTCAAATACACTAGATACCTCAAGAGAGGATGCGTCGCAGTAGCACACGGGCTCCTGCTAATGAAACGTTTCCCTTTACAGATTCCAACCTCGAATGGCTGGGCTATATCTACCTACCTTATTCTCCTATATCTAGTTTAATCCTATTCAAGTCCAGCCGAGTCACGTCGAGTCACGTCGAGTCTGAAGGCAGTCAAGTCGAGTCAAGTCGAATCGAGTCGAGTCCTAAGTCGAGTGAAGTTATTGATTATACCTACCTTATACTAAAAAGATTTTGAATTTTTTTTTCGGACCCGACTTTTTTAAGAGCTGACCAAAGAAAATATAAGAAAATAGGTGTATTATTTGGTTAATCAATACCTGTAAGTAGATTTATATTCCTACCTCCTCCTCCTCGTCCTCCTCCTCGTCGTCGTCCTCGTCGTTATCTATATAAGGTAGGTATTCTGTTCTTCTTCTTCTTCTCCGCCTCCTCTATTCCGCTAGACTACGAGACTTTCTCAATCCTACGAGATTCGTCGTACGCGATGCTAGCAAGAGTACAGAATGATGATTTAGTCTCTTTAGTAGGAGGGGAGAGGAGAGGAGAGGTAGGCAATTAATGTCGGGATGAAATTCGAAGCGTTTGATGAATTGGAATATTTTTATTTTCATTTTTAATTTTTTTTCCATTTTCCATTTTTCTTCTTTTTCATTTTCATTGAGCCGGTCGGTCCAGAGACTTCGAGTTCGATTGGAAGAATGTACGAGATAGAACTGTAACAACCACAATCTCGCGGGTCACAAATCCAATAATGATATTTGTGTGGGTGATGATGTTGAAAATACCTAGTGATGGACTGGGGATTATGAGGATGTAGTAGAATGAGATGAAATGAAGATGGAGCTTCCATCGCATAAGCAGCAATCATGCCTACCTAGGTACACTTACTTCGGTCCCCTCGAGGATCTCGCGCACATATATAGCGTGATCATTGGCTTGATTATAGGTATCCACTCGTCGACTTCAGAGGTCACAAATCTACAAAATACCTAATAGTGAATCATGAAAATCGCAGAATTATTCACCACACCTACAGTTTTTCCCTTTCGGATCTACTAGACGTCATTGTGAAAAAGAACATTGAAGATTGCACGAAAGCGCCGGTTGCCGTAGCAATTGAGCGTGAGAAGCAGAGAGCAGTCGCAAACGCACAGAAAGATTTCCATTGTGAAGGATAAGGTCCTTGTCACTTTCACTGTGCTCTTCATACATGTCAAAATCCGAATACGGGACGTCCGACCTGCGAGAAAAGAAAATATTCAGTCAGTATTGGCGAGTCAGACAAGAATAGGTCCCAACGTACAGTGCAATCACCTAGCTGCATCGATGGTAAAGTTCTCAGCTAACATACCTGGGATCACCTTGGAAGACCCTATTCAAGCAAGAGACGGTCAGCTCAGAGTTCCATGTTATCATCAGCCTCCAGAGCATCCATTTTTGGCTTCAATCTACAAATAGTCTAAGCAGTGATTCAGTCGAGCAGTGGCAGAAGCCTCACGAGGAACAGGAATGGGGGGTAACTTACAAATGACCCTCGTAGTAGTCAAGCAGCTTCTGCGGACATCTTTGCCGTAGTACAGGCATCTTGTGCTGCGTCTTCTTGCCGTTATGCCATTCCAGCAGCCCTTCGAGTGATTGGGCGCCCTTCTTCTTGCTGATGGTGCCCTCAGCGTCGACGTCGTCGGCTTCAATGATGGCAGTGACGCCTTTGACTTGATCCTCCCAAGAGCCGAGAGGCGGTTCCCATGCTTCGCCATTGGCATCCGATTTCCGGCCACGTCCCTTCTTGCTTGAAGCGGGTGCTGGTGAATCTGCGAAGGCAGAAGAGGCAGCTCGCTTTCCCCGATTACCCTTGCCAGCCTTCTTGCCCTTGACAGGAGGCTCGGGTGTGCCACCAATGTTGCGATGATAGGCCTCCAGCAGGTCTTGGGCACCGGAACTGCGAGAAAGATCAGCACCGTTGTATCAGGACGCGTGTACCAAGTGTCTCGCGTACAGATTCTCGATGGGTTCCCAGGTCCTGTCAGCTTCGTCTTCGTAGCCAGCCCATTTGATCAAGTATTTCGTCACACCCCCTTCGAACTTGTGGCTGATGATCTTCTCTACGACATATTCGTCCTCGTCGCCCTCGCTCTCCTCTGATTCCTCGCTCTGTGCTGCTTTTGCCTTGGCCGGTATCTCATCAGGCGTATCGACGTCAGAGCCATCGGATTCGACCAGAGCTGAACGAATAAATGCTGTTAGCGGGCCGAATTGCTCTCAGGTGACGAGTTCGAACTGACCAGGCATGGTGGCACGTTCGTCTGGTGGAGGTCAGGCGCGTCTGCCAGGAAGTTCCTACTGTCGCCTTTCGCGTCGCTCTTCGCGTCGCAGAATGTTCTAGTCGCCGCAACGCGCTCAAAGAAAATATGGGGGCGGCAGCGCAGTAATGTGTGTCAGGAGGTAGTGAGAGAGAGTGCGCGCGTGAGGTGAATGTGAAAGCAAAGCGCAGCTCTGTCCAACCTTTCATTTCCTAGTCGCGCCTACCTACCCTGCTGAGCTCTCGGGTGCTTCCGAGCGAGCGGGTTTCGACGCGACCCTCTCCACGAAAAGTTCGAGCAACAGGCCAACAGACACATACCGCCCATCACTCTCTTGCGCCGCCTCGACATACTTCTCGCATCACCATCCTTTCGACAAACACCGATCTGAGACGACTGGCAGCGTGGAAAAGTAGTCTGGAGGTGTTTTCAGAAGTGGGAATCTCGCCGTAACGGCATAAGAAGGCGGAGAACACGGTGCAAGAAGCACAGCTGCAATAGAGAATATGGCAGGCCAAGGCATGAGTGAGTACGGTGGCGATTAGTGAGAACAGATGTGAGGCAGGAGCTAATGCGAGACAATAGACCTCGATCTGAGCAACGGTATGTGAGGAGAAACAGACTGGAGCAATGTATGTTTGGAGTAGCTGACAATGAAGAATAGCTCAAATCACACAGGACGAGAATGGACGACCATTCATCATCGTCCGTGACCAGGGCCGTAAGAAGCGCACGCACGGAAACGAGGCCGTCAAAAACCACATTCTCGCCGCTCGCACTGTCTCCTCTATCGTCAAGACCTCGCTAGGTCCCCGAGGACTGGACAAGATCCTCATTTCACCCGATGGCGACATCACCGTCACCAACGATGGTGCAACCATTCTTGGCCAGATGGAGATCAAGGATCACATTGCCAAGTTGCTAGTCTCACTCTCACAATCCCAGGACGCCGAAATTGGAGATGGAACGACAGGTGTGGTGGTGCTGGCAGGCGCTCTGCTCGAGCAGGCTGCAGAACTTATCGACAAGGGAATCCACCCCATCAGAATAGCAGACGGCTATGACCAGGCTTGCGAGGTGGCAGTGGCAGAGCTGGACCGCATATCAGATGTCATGTCTTTCAGCAAGACCGACACCGACAACCTCTACAAGTGCGCCAGAACGTCACTGGGAAGCAAGATCGTTTCCAAGGCACATGGACAATTCGCTCAAATGGCTGTGGACGCCGTACTATCCGTTGCTGATCTGGAGAGAAAGGACGTGGACTTTGAGTTGATCAAGGTCGATGGCAAGGTGGGAGGCTCATTAGAGGACTCTGTGCTGGTCAAGGGTGTCATCGTGGACAAAGACTTCTCCCACCCACAAATGCCGTCAGAGGTACGAGACGCGAAGCTTGCCATTCTCACCTGCGCATTTGAACCACCCAAGCCGAAGACCAAGCACAAGCTGGATATCACGAGTGTTGCCGAGTTCAAGGAGCTGCAAAAGTACGAACAGGCCAAGTTTGCCGAGATGATTCAGCAGATCAAGGACACGGGCGCCAACGTGGTCATCTGCCAGTGGGGCTTCGACGACGAGGCCAACCACCTCCTTCTCACAAACGAGCTTCCGGCGGTAAGATGGGTCGGTGGTCCAGAGATTGAACTCATCGCCATTGCCACCAACGGGCGCATCGTACCACGATTCGAGGACCTGAGCGCGAAGAAACTGGGCCACGCAGGCATTGTCAGAGAAATGTCATTCGGCACCACGAGAGAAAAGATGCTGGTCATCGAGGAGTGCGCCAACTCACGCGCTGTCACCGCTTTCATCCGCGGTAGCAATAAGATGATCATCGACGAAGCCAAGCGTTCGCTCCATGATGCTCTTTGCGTGGTGCGCAACCTCGTCAAGGACAACCGGATTGTGTACGGCGGTGGTGCTGCTGAGATTGCGTGCTCTTTAGCAGTCGAGAAAGCAGCGCTAGACACTCCTGGTTTGGAACAGTACAGCATGCGCGCTTTTGCTGATGCTCTCGACGCTGTACCGATGGCACTTGCGGAGAACAGTGGTTTGAGCCCGATCGAGTCCTTGTCCGAACTCAAAGCACGACAAGGCAAGGGCGAGGGAAGAGGACGTCTTGGCGTGGACTGCATGCAAACAGGAACGAATGGTATGTTTACTACAGCTCACAATTGCGCGGTGAAGACATTGCTCACAATACTCGCAGACATGAAGGAACATTTCGTTATCGATCCTCTGATTTCCAAACGCCAACAACTCCTCCTTGCAACGCAATTGTGCCGCATGGTGCTCAAAGTCAACAATGTGATTGTTGCTGGATCTGATGAAAACGACTTCTAGATGGAATACCTGTCTCTTGATGGGTGGAACGGGAAGCACGCAGCGACGGCGTGAAGGTGTCGACGGCTGGAAGCGCGACGGGCTCCAGAGGTATGTACATCGTACAGTACGTGTGTACTACTGCCCATGCTTTTGCCATAGACGATCGAACATTTCCGACATCAGAAAAAGATGTTGGCCGACGTGCTGCTGCAGGTACCAGATAGCGTACCACACCAGATCGCGCAGGCGGAAGTTCGGCACCACACCGCAAAGCGCTTCGCACGAGGCGCCGGCGGCGTGCATATAGTGGCGGGATGCAGCAAGACCTCAACCTCTCTCGAACGAACGAATCAGTAATCGTATAGAGAACAGAGCAGCACCTTGACCTCTTCTTCCCTCTTCACTTTCTCTGCTGACCGACTAGACTTCTCATCTGCTAATCTCGCAACTCGTTTTCCCTCGTCATCACTCACTCTGTCTTGGCACAGCTTTGCAATCGCCGATCCCGCCGCTGCTCTGGCCTTTAACCGCCGACTTTTCACATTGCGCCGACCTGGGAACTCGTATACCTGCACACTCGGACTGCTGTATGGACGATACGTGGCAGAGACATGTCCGTTCAACTACTGCGGATACCGTAGACTCTACTGCGACCACATTGCTCCCTAGCGCATCGAGTAGTAAGGGTCACAGCTTTGATGAAGATGGGAAGCGATATGCGGATGTGGAACTCATAGCATGGGAGAAGGCCCAAGGGCTAGGAAAGAGAAAGAACCTCAACCAATATGCCGAGGAAGAAGAAAAAGAAGAAGGTGAAATAGACGGTGGTCACGAAAACGACACACTCGAGCACCAACCTCTCCTACAATCCCGCCCATCTCTCAATGCACTACGCGAACAACATCAAAAGGTCGCGCACACAGCCCAAACAGTCGGTGGAGAGGACGCAGCCGAGCCACCACCTCCCAACGACACCTCCAAACCTCAACCAGTATCCTGGAAAGACCTCCCCCAAAAAGGCCAATTAGCAATCCTCACCCTCGCCCGCCTCTCCGAACCTCTCACCCAAACCTCTCTCCAAAGCTACATGTTTTACCAACTCAAGTCTTTCCCCACCTCCACTGGCAGCCCTCCCAGCGATGCCCTCGTTGCCCGCCAAGCAGGTCTCCTCGCCGCCGCATTCACCTTTGCTCAGTTCCTCACCGCCATGCTCTGGGGACGTCTCGCCGATAGCGAATACATGGGGCGGAAAAGAGTCATCCTCGTTGGACTCTTGGGCACAGCGATAGGGAGTCTCGGGTTTGGATTCAGTCGGTCTTTTGAGGAGGCCATGTGTTGGAGAGCTGTGGGTGGGGTTCTGAACGGGAATGTTGGAGTTATGAGGACGATGATCAGTGAGATTGTAAAGGAGAAGAGGTTTCAGAGCAGAGCGTTTTTGTTGATGCCTATGACGTTCAACATTGGTGTTGTTGTGGGGCCGTTGTTGGGTGGGTTGTTGGCGGATCCCGCGGGAAGTTATCCCGGCTGGTTTGGACCGGGAGGGACCTGGGGAGGTATGAAAGGCGTGTGGTTGTTTATGGAGTTTCCGTATGCTTTGCCGAACTTGGTCAATGCGGGCTTCTTGGTCGGGAGTACGCTCGCTCTGGTGTTGGGATTGGAAGAGACCTTGGAAGGATTGAGAGGGAAGAGTGATTGGGGGTTGAAAATTGGCAAATCTTTGGGGAGAATGTTGTGGAGGCGGAGTACACCAAAGCAGGAATACGCGCCTCTTCAAGAGCAAGAGGACGGTGTCCTGAACGACCTCGAACTCGCCACCACTTCAACAACCAAACCTCTAAACTCCATCAGCACTCCCGTTCGAAAAAGAGCCAAGCTTCCCTTCCGCAGAATCTGGACCCCAAACGTCCTCTTCACCCTTCTTGCCCACGGCCTGTTAGCAATGCACGTCGGAACTTTCAGCAATCTCTGGTTTGTGTTCCTCTCTACCCCACGCTACAATCCAGAACCCTCGGAAGAAACTCTTCCCTTGCCCGAAAACTACAAACCCCATCCACCATTCACCTTCACAGGAGGCCTCGCCCTCCCTCCCCCGGCGATCGGCACCGCCCTCGCCATCCTCGGCATCATAGGCATCACCCTCCAACTCCTCATCTTCCCCCGAGTATCCTTCTGGTTAGGAACTATCCGGTCCTATCGACTCAGTCTCTTATTGTTTCCGCTCTCCTACTTCCTGGCACCTTACCTTGCCGTTATTCCCAGCAGCAACCATGCACCCGAACAACCCAGCAGCGGCATCTGGGTGTGGCTCTCTATCACCCTCATTCTCAGCATCCAAGTTTTGGCACGTACATTCGCGTTGCCATCGACGGCGATTTTGGTGAATAATGCTTCTCCGCATCCTTCGGTATTGGGGACTTTGCATGGGATTGCGCAGAGTGTGAGTAGTGCTACGAGGACGGTGGGACCGGTTGTGGCGGGTTATATTTATGGATGGGGGTTGAATTGGGGGGTGGTGGGACTGGCTTGGTGGGGAATGGCAGGAATGGCGATAGTTGGGGCGGCAGCGGGGAGGTGGGTACGGGATGGCGACGGGCATGAGATCTGGCTTGAAGGCGAGAGGGAAGGTGAACAGGAGAGTGGGAAAGGGTGAGCCGTCTTTTGACAAAGTTCACTTCCATTTCGAGTGTATTCTATACCGCCCGAGTCGCAAAAAAAAGGACGGCTTGATCAGAGGAGTCATGCATGCTACTGCCCTTGGGAGACTAGCCACGCACACCGACCAGCCTCAACACTTCGGGAGTCACCTCTGGCTCATGAAACGGTCGAGTACGATCCGCTGGGTCCAAGGAACCGTCTGGCCGTCTCGGCTTGGCATCATAATAGTCGACCTTATCTGCTGGAACGATATTCATGTTCTTGGAAACAATGTCAGTATGTGCAAGCCACGCATCTCGATCCAAGCACCACACACTCACCGGCCAGTGCGTCGTTCCCTTTCTCTGCTCGAAAATTTCCCTCTTCTTCTCCAACTCCTCCTCGGTCATAAAACTCCTCGGACAGTAACACACGTAGGTCGCAAACCGCGTCCGCTCCCCCTTGGGATTCGTGTTCCAATGTATCGTCCGACTATCCCACAGAATCAAATCTCCCGCTTTGGCGCATACTTTCACCTCCGGACACCCTGCTACCTCTCGATACCACGCGGCATCTTCGGGATTGAAGTTATATCCATTCTCGCCTTCACCCAAATCACATTCGGGCCGGAACTTTCCTCCATTGACCGCGTCGAAATGGCGTTGATGGAGTTTATGACTTCCCGCGAGCACGACGAGTCCTCCATCCGAGGGCCCGTTGTCGGCGAGGTTTGCGATGCCTTGATATAATTTGCACTCGGAAATCGTTCGAGGATCTTGATCGATATGTTCCCACGGCTTCGTCTCTTCCACATCTGTGCGTCCATGTTCGGGATGCACAGGTAGACTGATATTGAGTCCATCAAACGACGCGATGAGATCATCTGTTCCCCAGATCTGCGAAAATGTCTCGAGAATGCCTGGCTGGGTACGGATGTTCCAGACAAAGGCTTCGTGGTTGACGGAGTACCGGTTATACAGGCCTTTGGAGTGGTCGGATGGCAGATGCGACGCTTTCCAGGTGCTGCGGTCTGTACGGGAGAAGTTGTTGGTTGGGAACGATTCGAGCCATGACCAGGCGGATTCGACGAAGGAGGCGCAGACTGAGGGTGGGACTACGGAGGGGACTACGACGTAGCCATCTCTATCTAGGTCGATGAGAAACTGGGGTTTGGAGGGTGAGGAGGATGACATGGTCGTTGCTGTTGTTCTTCTTCACTTGTTCTCGCTTCTTGTGGCAGTATAGATAAAGGAGGCCGCTGGACTGGGAGTGCGTTGAAGACGATCGAGAAAGGTGAGATGGAACGACTCTTTCAACGAGGAGGTGAGTAGTCCCGAGACGTGAAGTTTATCTGTGGTTGGTGATCGGTATACCATTGTCACGAATTGCTTGGCCGTGGACAAGGGATAGCTCCAACAGGCAGGCGGGGTTGCGAGGTTGTGCGAGCTTGAGAAGCTTATACACTGATTATTGACTTGGGCTTCACTTGATCACACAATCAGCACGCAGACTAGGACTATTCCATAATATCAGGAATATTGTAGCTACACTACTTCGACGATATGGATCAATATGTCGATCAAAGATATCGCAAAAGAAATTGATAGGGGAAGTCTGTCTCGCTAGAACCGCCATCCATGTCTCGCGCGTTTCCCCTGCTGTACAACATCAATAATGCAGATTGCAGGAACCAACATGAGGAGAAGTACTGTAACCCTGTAAGGTTACCATGATTGCACCGACCGATAACACCACAGAGATGCGATACCTTATCAGCTGCATTTTACATACCGTCCGCTCAGGCATCTCTGCTCCTTTTCAACCGCAACGAACTCTTTCATCCTCAAATGGCAAAGGACAACGACACTTTGGAGGCCGTCGCCAGTATAGCCAGCTCGGGAACCCTTCACGAGAGTGGGAGTGCCCACCACAACAGCAAAGAGCCGTCGGCATCAATCGCCCAAATCCTCGAAGTCCAAGGCAACACCGCCTTCTTCCAAGCCACCACCGCAGCGCCTCTCAATCCATTATCCAAGACTTCCCTCCAACTCTACCTCATCCTCCTGACCGCATGTCTCAATGCCACCGCTTCGGGCTTCGATGGCTCCATCTTCAGCACCATCAACGCCATGGACCAATATAAAAAATACTTCCACAAAGAAGAAACCGGAGCTTCCACCGGAATCATTTTCGCCATCTACACCATCGGCAGCATGGTCGGAGCCATTTTCACCGGCGCCATCGTCGACATTGGCGGACGGCGAGCGGGCATGGGCGTGGGAGCGGTGATTCTCATGATTGGAGCAATTGTGGTGACGGCAGCGCAGACGCAAGCATATCTCCTCGGGGGGCGATTTGTGCTGGGATTTGGAATTGCCTTGGGAACATCGGCTGCTCCGACGTATGCGATTGAGTTGGCTCCGCCGCAGTGGAGGGCGAGAGTGACGGGGTATTATAATACGTTTTTTTATTCTGGATCGATTCTCGCGACGGGCGTGACGTATGCGACTGCGAAGAATAAGACTTCGGAGTTGGCGTGGAGGTTGCCGTTGGGGTTGCAATGTATTCCGTGAGTATGGTTGACCCGACCGGGTTTTTCATTATCATGTTTTTTTTTAGTTTGGCTGACTGACAAATTTATCTGCTAGACCCCTTTTCATACTCTTGGGATGTTTCCTAATCCCCGAATCTCCTCGCTGGCTCTGCTCTCATGGTCGAATCGACGAAGCCACCCAAATCCTCGCCAAATACCACGGAGCCGGCGACGTGAACCATCCCGTCGTACAACTCGAACTTCAAGAATTTCAAGAATCCATCTCGGTGCAAAAAGGGCGAGCCTGGTGGGACTGGCGCCAACTCGTTCACACGCATTCTGCTCGTTGGAGACTTCTCATGGTACTCCTGATGAGTTATGGCAGTCAATTGTCCGGCAATTCGGTTCTCACATACTATTTACCGAGCATGTACACCCAACTCGGAATCGTTTCTACTGATCGGAGACTGTTGCTCACTTTCGTCAATAGCATTGTGAGCTGTGCGGGAGCTCTCGCGGGTTCTGCGACTAATGATTGGATTGGTAGACGAACGAAATTATGGGTGGGATCGATTCTGCTCGCGGGAATCTTTTCTGCTGTTACGGGGTTTTCGTCTCAGTTTACGAGTAAAGCTGCTGCTGCTGGTGCTGGAGTGGCTCTCTCGAATGCTGGAGTGGCTATGGTGAGGATGATTCTTTTTCTTTTGTTTTGTTTTGTTTTTGTCCCTCACAGCACGCGAAACTCCTTCTCTACAAGTCCGCTAAGATGGAAAGAAAAAAGAAAAAAGAAAACATTGTTCACACCAAAAACTAATCACATACCTTCCTTCTTCTTCAATCTAGATCTTCCTCTTCGGCTGCGTCTACAGTTTCATCTACACACCCTTAACAGCGACCTACTGCGCCGAGAGTCTCGACAATCACACTCGAGCAACAGGCATGGGAATTGTACGTATGATCATCCCCTCCCACCCAACTAATCCCGATTGTTTTTTTTTTTCTTTTTTTAACACAGAACTCGATTATTAGCACATCATAATGAACAACACGGCAAATTTCTACAACACCTACGTCACGGCCATCGCACTCAAATCCATCGCGTGGAAATATTATTTGGTTTTTGTCGCGTTGAATCTTACTTATGGTACGTCGTGTGCATCCCTCACATATACATCCCAAACATCCCTCCCCCCCTTTTTGGCACAAACATTTTTATCGTTAATTGATTGTGTTTTTTTTGTTGATTTTTTTTTGTTGTAATAGGTATCATATGGTATTTCATCGGCGTAGAAACCAAAGGTCGTACATTGGAAGAATTAAAAGAAGTTTTTGAAGCTCCTTGGCCTCCTAAAGCGGCTTTGAAAAAGGAGAAGATGGTGAGGAAGGGGGATGGGAGGTTGGATCGGGTTGTTTGATTTGTGGAAAAGAAAGAGAGAAAAGAAAGGTGGGTGGATGATTTATGAAGCGTGTTTTGATTCAAGAGGGAGGGGAGTGGAAACGATGTGAATTGGTTTTTTTTTGGTAAAGATTGCTGGAGATGGAACAAAGATGGAAGTTGGAGATGAAGGTTGGAGATCGAATATACCTATAGCTAGCTGGATTTTTTCACTTTTCTGCGTATGGGTGTGGGTGTGGAGTTGTACGCACCAGATCAGTGAACTGAGAGTAGGTTGGATTCCTTTTCTTTGGGAATTGCTTGATCATGATGATCATCATTCTCGACCCCGATGTATTTTTGAAAGGGGGGCCAATTTTCTGTAGGTGAGCTGGATGAGGTAGACGTTTTTCTTCGGTATGTCTGGCGTCCGGGGGGAGGTCGATAATGATGATGATGATTTGGGACAGAGAAAGGAATCAAAGGATGATAATTATAAATTATAAGGTAATAACAATAGGAAGACGTTTATACGAACGAGCGAGCTACTTGACTTAGCGCGTAAGGTATGAGAGATCTGAATTGTAGTTTCACCATTACAAACTTTTCATGCGAAGGGTAAAAGTGTAAAAGTAAAAAAAGTAGATATATTCATATATTCAAAAGAATCTCACTTTTTTTCTTAAATCATAATCTTCATATACACATGATCATTTCGCGCCCAGAAAATTCTACTCCGCTCTCCTGGCATTGCAAAAACAGAAACAAAAAAAAACACCTCCCACCCCGCAGCCCCTCTCTATTCTATTCCCTCGAATCCCAATACAAATTCAACCCTTCCCCTTCTCTCCCCATGTGAATTTTCGCAACAGCAGCTCTCAAATCCGAACCCATGGCCTCGGGCCCACTCCCCACGACTTCAATTCCTCCACCGCATTCTTTTGCGCGCTCGGAGAAATCGAGGACGAGATCGGCGACGGAGGGGTGGTGGTCTTGGAGCCAGTGGACTTGGAAGCGGGGGTTGTTGTTGTTGTCGTCGTCTTTGCTGCTGCTGTTGCTCGTGGCGGCGAGGAGATCTTCTAGTGATGTGTCTGAGTGGTTGGAGAGGGAGGATGTGAGGGGGGATTTGATGTTGGAGGATTTGGGTTTTTCATTGTCATCGGCAATGTCGTTGCTGCTGGTGATGATGGGGAGTTTTTCGTTTTTGTTGGTGTTGATGATATTTTTGGTGTTGTTGTCTTTGCCAACGCGATGCCGGATGTCTCTGCTGACGAAGATGGAGATTCGCAGGCCGAGAGCTTCGTTGAGCAGTTTCTTCATCTGGCTTAATTCGCTCGAGAGCCAGAGGACGTCTTCGGCTTTTCGGACCACCCAGATGAAGTCGAGGACGGCTGCGGTGAAGGTACATTGACGGACGGCTTCCATAATAATCGGCCAGGTGAATGTCACTCCTGTCCCGCCGGCAATGGCCAAGACGTGTTGAGCTTCGTAGCTGGGGAAACCATGTCCATATGGTCCGGAGAGAATTACAGGAACGGTAGCGCCGTTTCCCAGTGCGGCGAGTTTCTTCGTCTGGCCATCTCGGACGCGAATGATGTAGGTGTGATGTTGGGTTTTACTCCTCATATCCGGCACACTCGAGACAGTGTAGGGGTGGGCTTGCCAGATCGAAAGACTGGGAAACGTCAGATAGAAATGCTGTCCGGCTTGCCAGCTTCCTGCATTGCGATGTTCGTAGTCGAAATCCAGCCTGAGAACGGTCCCGTTGTCGTCGGTCAGGACTTGAAGGTCTGCTTGCGCGCATTTGAATCCTGCACCCAACGAGCCTTTTCCTCCCATGTGGATGTACAACGTCCTCAAGGCTCGAATGCTCTGATCGATGACGATCAATGCCAGGGACGGGACCATCCAACACCACAGCTTATCCCAATGGCCCCAGCACGCTCCCAAGTACAACACGGCAATGATCCAATGCGTAATCTTGAAGAACTCATACCCCGTCCAGCGAATCACGGGCTTCAGAGAAAACACAAAGAGGAACGACAGAAATGCCATGGCCACACACCCAAAAATGATATACTGCGAGCTGATAAACTCCTTATACACGGCCGGCTGCGGTTGATACAGTTTCGCTTCAATTATCGTCCAACCGATGGTATGCAGCAAACTCTGCGCGAAAATCACCCTCCCCAGCCAACGATGCAAGAAGTTGAAGTGTTGGTAGGGAATGCCCGTGCACAGCGACAGGACACTTTCTCGCATGCAGAGCAAGATGGCAAAGGGCGTCAGCGCATATGCGAGCGCTCCGATGCGGTCGGACCAACCTCCGAGTGAAGAACGTGTGTTGTGGAGGCCGGGGTGGCCGGTGACGGGGGTGATCCAGTGACGATAGCTAATGCCGACGAAAGTGAAGATGGTGATGTAGGCGAGGATTATGCTGAGAACGAGGACTTGGAGGCGGCTGATGCGGCCGAAAAGGAATCGCATGGGGGAGTCGGGGAGGAAGTGGCGTTTGTAGGACTTGATTTTGGATACGAGTGTGAACAGAGGTGTGGAGGCTGCGTAGGAGTTCGGCCCTCCCGTGGTCCAGATGCGTGTGACAGTCCAGAGGAGGAGGACTCCCAAGATCACGCCCCAGAGGATGAAGGTATAGAGCATGGACGTGACATGGTCACCGTATACGTGGTCGAGGTATTCGCATGTTCCGACATCTTTGACGCAGGGAAGGACTCGCGAAGGATAGGCCCAGTAGGGCGTATTTGCTTGACTATGGTCTTGGATGTGTTGTCTAGCGACCAAGAGGTTATGGTCGGGGAGTGATGCCGACATGGTGAGTTCGATTGTCGAGGGAGTATTGTCACCCAGTGGAGGTTTGGTCTCCACGTAGGGGGAACCTATTCCTCTTCTTTTTTTTATAAAGCCCTTAGTGACATGGAATTTTTCTTTGCAGAGGGTTCGAGGAGGATTGGAGGTTGAAGTGAATGAAGGGTGAATAAAGGAGGGAGAATCAACAGTGGGTGAGTGAGTGAGTGATTGAGTGAGTGAGCAGGTTTGAGCAGGGAAGCCAACGCCACACACAGGAGCATGTCGGACAAGTTACTGCATCAGTCTGTGCCTTGAGGATTCTACAAAAGACTAAAAAGGCGCAAGGCTCGTGTTAGGGCAGACGTCTGGCCGCTGCTGAGAGTCTGAGAGGTTGCAGAGTCTTGGCTGGATGAGCAAGTTTCCACTTCAACCCTTGGCAACCACGTGGGTGTGGTGATCGCGGCAAGTGAACGGCATCTTGAACTCTTTGTCTAAAATGAACTTGGCTTTTTTTTGTTTTTTATACTCCGGAGATGCTCAGAGTGTCGGTCTGTATGCTCCACATTCCGCAGTGTCCGCAGTTGAGAGCCTCATACACTCTCGCTGTCACTGACACTCTTGTGGAACAGGTCGTCCTGGCTACCCTTTTCCCCAACAACAGCGGAACTCCTCTTACGCAACATTACCCACGCGAGCAATGCCACTGCAGCAACTACAGCCAGGGTGACACCCGCGCCAATTCCGCCACCTGCTGCAGCCGAAAGACCGCTGTTCTGGCCACCGTTCTCGTTGCCAGCGGATGAGGATGCTGTTTCACCATCCATGGTGGCATCAGCGCTCAAGCAAAATTCTGCTTGACTCCCACACCTCTGGCACCATGCGCCCACGCTCGACATGGCATCACCTTCCAATCCATTCCGGAAAGCTCCATATTTCACTCCTCCGCTCTCTTCGACGGGCAAATCCGCAAGTGCATAGGACGTCAACTCCGAGTCTGCTTCAGTGCCATTGCGGAACAGGAACCTCACCAGAAGTTCCTCGTCGACATTGCCAGCTGCAGGAAATGTCGCATTGTCTGCTTCGGAGTAGAGCTCAAACGTAATCGTACTCGCATAATCGGGGATCCCGTAAAAGTTGGGCTCTACGGCCGGAAGACCCATGATTCCGAAGAATGCGAGGAAAGTATCGTATGATCCAGTCATGAGAGAGAATTTCGTGGCGGCTTCATCATCGACGACAGACTTGATTTGGCGGAGCATGCCTCCCAGGAGGGATTCGCCACCGATCGAGCGGTCGGGGAGGGAAGAGTTGTAGTTCATATCTGGACGAGAACGTGGTCAGTTGTCTGATTCTGTGGTTTTGATGAAGGAAGGCGGTGATGCGACGTCACTTACTCCACTCCCATTCATTCGCCAAATATCTCGCCTCATCCAAGTTTTCGTCGGATATCTGTCCCGCGATGCTCTCGTTGTGAACCTTGGCGGTGTTCAACAGGTCAAACACATCGTATGCTTTCGCAAAGGAAACGTTCTCAGCCCCGAGAATTGGTCCGAGTAGTCCATCGAACTGGGAATAGAATTCGGCTGTTCTTGCAAGAGTTGCTTGGTATTCAGTGGAATCACGATAAGTTCTCGATGCCCGATTCCACGCCGGGCAGGCATCATCGCCTTTCAACCAGATCGTGTCAGGTGCATTGTCTGCCTCGCCTTGAATGTGGACATATTGATACGCATTCAGTGGGCCTTCGATGGATGTCCCGTTGGCGAGCTCTTCCGTCGCCAAATTCGAGTCGAGAGATTGCAGTGGAGGATACAGGCCCTGGAGAAAGTTGGTGGCGGTTTGGAAGAGAACGGGTTGTTCGGGTGCAGATGCCCACAACTGGGCGTGATCGGCTTGGGTAGAAGAGATGTCTGCGATCTGAGATGGGGCTCCATCGGCAACGTAGAGATCCCGGTAGAAGGAGCCGGAGTTGTAGCATTGCTGTGCTCCCAAGCTGGTCATCTGGTAGCCCGGATAGACCTTTGACGTGCCTACGCAAGATGTTTAGTCAGAGTTCCTTCCAGACTGTTGTACGACGTACGATCTCCATGACGACTGAAGACGATCACGCTGTGAACCGTTCTGCCCAGAATAGGCGTTGCAAGTGCGGTGATGAGCAGAGCGTGAGACTTCATGGTGCACGATATACGTTTGGTGGAAAGAGTCAAGCTGCAAAAGTGTAGCCGAGCAAGAGTAGTGGTGGGCGGCGAAAGCTTCGAATATGTAGCTACTACCTACCAAGCTCTTTATCAGAGACTATTTTCCCATGCCTGATAGTCCTGCATGAGCTTACCTACTGGTTTTGTTGTCGGCCGCAGCCAAGAGACGTGAAGATACTGGATAAAGGTCTTGGCATTGGGAGTGAATGTCTTCTCCAGGGCCGAAAGTGCCCACTGAGTCCAGGAGGATGAAAAGAGAAGCTGCTGGGAGCCATGTGATCAACTGTGACGAGGACGCGTTGTTCCGGTATGTCTATACCAAGGACGAGCCGTCAATTCGTGAGAGAGGGTGCTTCTTGGCCAAGACTTGATAGCTCCTCTACTGGAGGGCGGTTTTCTTTTAGCCAAGACTTGATAGCTCGCTCCTCCACAGCAGATCGATCCTGCACCAATCGGGAACGCAGGTTCGAGCATGGCCTTAAGGTAGCGTAGGTTGCATTGCAGGCTTGCAAGAAGCTCCCCAGGGGCCAAAGGGCGCAGAAGAAGACATCATCGTGCTACCTCGCCGTAGGACTACTATATGGTGGTCGTGGAGGTGGTGGTGGTGGAAGACTGCACTGGATTCCCAGTCAATACCATTGTGGCCCTATGGTTAGAGGTTTGGGAGGAGGATATCATGGCCAGTGTGTAATCAGGACTTGCTGGCGGTGGTCGGTGGGATAAACAACGTCAGATTCAGTCCGATGATGTTGCGAAAGTACATGTATGTGATGCCGGAGATGGGGGGATCGGAGACGTGAAAGAGCCAAGACTCGGTCGCCCTTGACAACGCAGGAGCCCTGTAACGTAAATAGATCGCAAATAGATACTGTACACGCCGGAGGAATTGCAGCGTCGCACAGCACACTGAACAAGCATTCCTCACGGGAAACAGAACAAGGTCCTATAGATTGCGCGCAGGCATGCCGTCTTCAAGCTCCCAGCCCGCCCACGACTCTCCCGCGCGACGCCAACAGCGCCGCCGGAGAACGCATCAACGCGAAGACAGCAATGGCGACTTGCTCGCGCGAGAGGACAGTGACGATCCCGAGAGACGACGACGGCGGCGCCGGAGGGAGAGCAGAGCGGGTGCCGACGATCCATATGAGTATGCAGAGAGGAGGAGAAGGGGCTCGCGACCACCCAATAGCTCGCGAACCCGATCGCGACATGCGCCAGAAAGCAGTGGATACACGACAAGTGGCTCTGGAAGCCGAAGTGGTGCGCTGAGTATGGACCAGCTGGAGAAACTGGACCGGCTGAATAAGAAACTGGGGTACGACGACTATGAGGCGCCGCCGAGACCACGACCTCGAGAAAGAGAAAGAGAAAGAGAAAGAGAAAGAGATTATGTACAGGTCGAGCTGGAGGCGGAGGACGATGCGACCCGGAGCAGTGATCTAGAGCGTGAACGAGAAGATCGCCGGAGAGAGCGCGAACGACGTAGAGAGGAGCGGAGGCGGAGGCGGAAGGAAGAGGAAAGAAAGGCGTGGTTGCGAGGGGAAGAGGAGGAGGAGGGCGATGAGGTACCTATTCGTGGCACGCGAGTGAGGTCGGAGAGTAGAAGACGAGAGAGACGCGATGATTATGACTTTATACGAGACAAGAAGGAACGGCCGCGACGAGAACGGAAAGAAAGACGAATTGCCAGTGGACAGGTCCTGGAACGAGGCGATCCGAGCGAGTATGAATACAGCGAAAAAGAAGACTACTCGGAAGACATCCGACGCCGAGATGGAAGCGACAACAGCAGCAATCCATACATTGATCTAGAAGAAGAGGAGCGGAAGAGAAAGCGGCGGAAGAAGATTTATATCGGGATTGCAGTGTTCATCATCCTGCTTGCCATCATCATTCCCGTGGCTGTGGTGGTGTCGAAAAAGGGAAATTCTGGAGCAAGTGACTCTGGTGGAGCTAAGACAGCAGCAAGCGACAGTTCAGGAGGTCCCGACAACAGTAATCTGGACAACATCTCCAAGGACAGCATCCCATCACAGTATAAAGGCACCTGGCTCGATCCTTTCTCCTGGTACGATACGCAAGACTTTAATGTCACCTTCACCGATGAAATGGTGGGCGGTTTACCAATCATGGGCCTCAACAGTACATGGGACGACAGCACACGGGCCAACGACCAGGTCCCACCTCTGAATGAAGAATTCAAGTATGGGACCATGCCCGTCCGAGGCTGTAATGTGGGTGGCTGGCTCAGCATCGAACCCTTCATTACACCTTCTCTCTTCTCGTCTTACAAGACGTCCGATAATGTCGTAGACGAGTGGACGCTGACCAAAGCTCTCGGGCCTACCAATGCCAAGTCCATCCTCGAGAAGCACTATTCTTCATGGGTCACTGAATCCACCTTTGCAGACCTCCAAGCCGCAGGTTTCGACCATGTTCGAATTCCCTTCAGTTACTGGGCCATTATCACCTACGACGGCGATCCATACGTCTCTCAAGTGTCATGGCGGTATCTCCTCCGAGGAATTGAGTGGGCTCGAAAATATGGACTCCGTATCAATCTCGATCTTCACGGCGCTCCCGGCTCACAAAATGGATGGAATCACTCCGGCCATCAGGGAGCCATCGGGTGGTTGAACGGAACTGATGGGACTTTGAACGGCGACCGCACCATTGCCATCCACAAGCAGCTCTCGGAATTCTTCACACAACCTCGCTACAAAAACATCGTCACCATGTACGGTCTGGTCAATGAACCACGTATGGTCGAACTCGATCAATCCACCGTGATTTCGTGGACACAATCCGCCATCGACGCCGTTCGCGGGAACAATTTCACCGGCATCATCGTCTTTGGAGACGGGTTCATGGGCCTTGACAATTGGCAGGGTAAACTCACAGGCAACGACAAATTACTTCTCGACGTCCATCAATATGTCATCTTCAACGTCGATCAAATCGTTCTCAACCACCACGACAAAATCAACTTCGCCTGTGCCGGCTGGACCCAACAAGCACTCCGATCCCAAAACACCGCCACAGGCTTCGGTCCCACCCTCTGCGGAGAATGGTCCCAAGCCGACACCGACTGCGCCAACTACCTCAACAACGTCGGCGTCGGCTCTCGCTGGGAAGGCACTCTCAACATGGTCGGCACCCCCGGCGGATCCATCAACGGCTCCGTTTTAACCCCGACCTGTCCCACCAACAATAACCCTCGATGTAGCTGCGACGGCGCCAATGCCGATCCGAGCGATTATTCCGATGTGTATAAGCAGTGGTTGTTGATGTTTGCGGAGGCACAAATGCATTCGTTTGAACAGGGCTGGGGTTGGTTTTATTGGACTTGGCAGACGGAAAGTAGTGCTCAGTGGAGTTATAAGGCGGGTTTAAAGGCTGGCACGATGCCGCAGTTGGCGTATCAGAGAAGTTTTGATTGTAGTCAGGAAATTCCGGATTTTCAGAATCTTCCGGAGTTTTATTGAGGTGGGTGGTGGTGGTTTGCTTACGAAGGATTGTTGTTGTTGTTGTGGATTGGAGGAAAGAAGGAGGCGGAAGTGTTGGCGTTGCAGTGAGGAAATCGGTTGCTATATAGTTATGATTTGATTGATTGTTACCTTGCTGCTGCTTGTTGTTCATGATGTTTTTTACTATACCATGTCTGAGTGCACTATTAGCAACTTCCTAGATTCCATATCCATTCCGCATGCTAATACATCTTTTCCCGAGCGATGGCATTGTAGCCTCAAGCAAATCGTCCCCCCAATACTGTAGCTGTACCTCCTAGCTACCTCCTAGATATTGTTGATAATAATGATAATCAGCCCGTGCAGTTGCCAAACCCCTTCCAGGTTGACACTGTTGAAAGCACCGAAAAAAAAAAGGAAAAAGGAAAAAGAAAAAGGGAAAGAAAAGACGATGACGTCGCGTGGGACAAGAAGAGCCGATGGAAGAAGAAGCTTTCGGCAAAATACGGTACATGTAGTCTTGTTCTGATCGACACAGGGTCTTGTTCACCCCACGACATGACATGAATAATATGCCTCAGTGTGTAGGGAGGTATTCGGTCCTTGGGCTGCATATCGTATCCAATTTTTTTTCTCTCTGGCCAGTGGGTAGGTAATACGATCAACTCGCGTGGATTTTTGGGATGGGATGAGATGGGATGAAGTCTCCTTGTTTGCCATCTTATCCACGCATCCCACACTACCTGTCTACCTAGGTACGGGCTAGGTATGTAGGAACGATATCTATACGGGGACTGGTGACAGACTGGAGAGAATATCAACTAATAGCCTCACAAGAGGTAGGAGGTAGCGTTCTGATGGTAGAGTTGAGCGAACAGCAAGCAGGTCGGGTGGCAGGCAGTAGGTGGTAGTGGTGGATTTACCTTTTTGTTGGCTCCGTACACACGTAGATCTTCTTTTCGAAAGAGGTCTAGCTGACCTGACTTAGAGCTCTTTTCTAGCGATGTCGGTGTTGGGTCGCCGCCCCTTCTGAACGATCGACTTTCCTTTTTGTGATGACTTTACTGATGCATCTTGAGTTTGGAGTATCCATACCAGCAACAAGAACAACAAGAACAACAACAGTTTCCCTGGGGCGAAGTTAGCTCATTGTCAAGTGCTCAAAGAAGAACAGCATAACTGGACGAACGACCCTCAGTACCTACTCGATCACATACCTTACCTGTATCAGTCACAAATCGGACAAATGACGTCTCCCATCCCTATCCTCAGCGGCAAAATCAAGAGCAAGAGTAGAAGCAACCATAATAACAATAACAATCACGACAACACCCTCTCAAAAACTTCCTCTTCTTCCTCTCCGCGGAGAATCAGGCCGGTGGGGAGAGGTGGAGCGGGGAATATGCGTATGTGAACATTTCGAAAAGAATAATCCTTCTTCGTCATCACAGCTCAGCATCTCAGCATCTCATCATCTCGTGAACCTCATCAAAGCCACCAAGAAACCCTTCAATGTTTTGTTTTTCTTCTTCCTAGGTTTCTTTTTTTTTCTTTGCTAACAGCCACCCTTTTTTCTGATTTGATGTAGACACACAAGCAGAAATCCAAGCCGCAGATGAAGAAGTGGGGAAACGGACTGCAGAACAACTCTGTAGTAGTTCACATTCGAGTACTCAGTCGACTAGTGAAGGTGAGTTCTATCCTCTTTTTTCTTCCTTTCTCTCTCTTTCTCTACCCTTCTCTTTCTTTTTGTCAAGTCTAATCTCACGCTGACATGATGCGATATTCTTTTTAATCATAGTCAAAACTTCTCGTTATCGTCGAGACTCTGTATCTCTCTTCTCGCTGAGTTCGTTTTCGATGTTGACCAGTCGGAGCGGAGGAGGGGGAGGAGGAGGAGGGGGAGGCGGGGGAGGGCATCACAATGATGCCGCTTCTCCTACTTCTCCCACTTTTCCTTCGTCATATTCTTCTCCTTCTTCATCATTGAGATCGTCGTTTATGGAAAAGCTGGGATTGCCATCGAGGAAGTCGTCGACGAGACTAGCGGGAGAGAATGCTTCTATTGCTTCGGGGAAGAGTTGGAGTAAGACGACGGCCACGACGACTTCTGGTTCGAGTGTGGTGGGGGAATGAGTTCTTTATTTTTGGTTCGTTTTTTGTTGGGCTGTAAGTGTAAGATGTGCTGCTGCTGTAGAATGATACCCCTTCTTTTGTTGTTTTTCAGTGGCTGCCTTTTGCTAGTCTTAAGAGTGTTGCATTCGTCGAGCATGTTGGTACTTGGAGTTGTACGTTATGTATTGGAAAGGATTTGGGAAGAAAGAGACGAGGGATGATGAAGTGAAAGATGGGCGCAGTGGGAAACATAAGGCAACTCACTGTTGCAACCAAGTATCGCAGCTTCCGAACTACCTTACCTTCACCCTTCGCACCTGCCGATTCATGTTTTAGGAAGTTTCTATTCCTTCGCTCTAAGAGACTCCAGCAGCCAAGTCAATAGAAGACTACCACCAAGACCACGACCGACGAAAATATTGGTAAACCTCTACATTCTATTGCGCGAGAAATATGATTGTAGCTTGGGACCTTTCGTCGACGGAGGCGGAGAGGGGCGAGCATTAGCGGCTGCAGAAACTTCCGATGAACGGTCCGTAGATCCCAAAGACAAAGACGGCGAGCCTCCGGGTCTGGTCAAGCGACAGAGGAGAACAGTGGAAACATGCCTTCCCTACCTTATGCTGTGGGAATACAGTAGTCTGGCGCCTGACGATCCTGGTAGGCATGCCCAGAGCTTTCACCGATCAGCCACCTAGACTACCGGCGAGCTTCGATTCACAGCATCTTCGGAGAAGATGCGATATGAGGACTTTCGAAGCCAAAGGCCAGGTACGAGATATGAGCCCGTTCTTATTGGCCATCGTACACACTGCGGGATTTTTCCCTGGGTGGTGTAATGAATGTCCGCACAGGGCAGGGTCAAAGAATCAGCATGGACCTAACCTGAGCTGATGGATGCTCGCCCCTCGCTCTCCAGGTCGCTGGTATCCGTACAACACAGCTCAGAGCACTCCCCACCCACGCTGGCAGGCTGCCTCGCCCTCTGCTCAGGCCACGAAGAAGCCGCACGTATCTCTAACCTGACTATGTCCCGCACGATCCGTAGTGTATTATTTCAGTGGGAATTGCGCCCTCCACCTCAAAGTGGCGCACACACTCGTGTCAGAGAGTGGTGTCACCACTTTTAGAAGGCATTATATCCTGAAAAATGGACTGTCTGCTTGCTAGCTCTGCGTGCGCGGCAGCTCTCGTTTTCGGGTATCCTGTCTGGTTCACGGTGACGGGTGACAGCTTGCAGAGGCTTCGTGGAGGTGGATATCCGTAGCATGTCATGGTATGGCGATGAGGTTGTGATGAGAAGCACATGGGTGGTGTACACATTCGGTTGCGATGTGGCTCGAGGTGGTGTAGCTTGGCAGCCTTGGCTTCTCTCCTCTCCCGATTCCTCTCCTCCTCCTCCGCCTCTTCTCCCTCATCATCCTCTACCCCCTAGTCCTCTCAGAGAGAAGACACGCCACGTGCATCAAGTAGATTTCCGAATGCTGCATGTTCGGCACCACTCCCACCCGCAGCGCAAGGCATTCACAGTCCTCGATCTCAACGTCGTACTCAGGTACATGTACAAGATGACGCGGGTGCTGCGTGGCGCGTGTGGAAGGGTGCGAGAGAAGATGCACCAATATATTGGGCTTCGGTGACACAAGAATGGATCGCAGCCGCTTTCCATCTACGCACGCAGTTTGGCAGCGAGAAAGGCAAGTGCCACCCGCCTCACCAGACTGCCATGCTCTCCGCCATACTGCCATACTGCTGGGCTCGCTCCCACGTTCACCATCATGTTCTACACACCCACACCCTCTCTCTTTTCCACCTTGCTTCGACGGAAAACCTGTGTAAATCTAGGTACATTCTTGGGAGCCGCCAGCGTGCATCGACCTCCTCTTCACCGCCTCGGGGAAGGGAGTGCTGGATGTCGCCTACTCGGCAGCACCGACAACGCGTCCGCGCGCCCGTGTGACGTTCCTCGCTGGAATTTGCGACCTACGATGGGACCGAAGTCTCCGCTGTCTTCACAAGTAGCAGAATCGCCTTCACTCACTTGCGTGAAGGGTTGAAGCTTCCGTGCACCGACCGACACCTGCGTGGTCTGCAGACGCTGCCACCTGCGTCTTCTTGACAGCTCACGTGGCTCCCGTTCTGGTGCATTTGAAGTTGCTCCTCTTCCTCACTTTCACGACTGTGCATCCTGCGTGGCCTGGAGTTGAATCCGGAGAGCGAGCTGACATCAGCATGGGCAAAGCATTCTTCACGGCATGGCAGACGTGGGAGAAGCTAGTGTTTGTAGGCGCTCCAATGGCCTGATGTGGCAACTCGTCCGCTGATAGGAATGCAGATCCTCGCTTGTGCTATTGTTGTCACTGTGCTCTTGGGATGTGCAAAACTGGGACACACCCACTATAACTTGCGCAAATACAGCGCCATAGCAGAAAAGGACAAACAAGAAGAGCAAGCAATGCATCGGCAAATGAGCCACCGACGAAGACCTCCAACAACCACAGATGTCCCGTTCGGCATCAGAGCCATCGAAAGCGGGGTGGAAGTGGAGGGCGTATGGATCTCAAGAAACAACAGCCCCGAGCCCGCATCAACGCGGGACACTTCAACTGCTTCAATGTGGGACGCGGCCGTCCATCAACGTCACGAGATCGATCTGGAGAAGCAGGATGCTGACACACGACATGGCCGACACGGTTTGGAATCCACGAATGCTTCCAACCCTGCGACGAATGCCGGTATGGCAGGCACAAGAATGACTGGCCACGGTCAGCCAGAAGGCGTGATGTCCAAACCGGCAAAGAACAAGCAGCATCCACCTTTATCGTATGCCAAGTACAGCGGAAATCCCAGCCTGTTCAATCAGGCTCCATACGTCAGCACCATTGAAGGGATCAACGCAATCCATCGGGCCTCGGGACCGGTCACTACTGGCAGCACCCACGGCGATGAATATGGCAGCCGCGACTCCAGTCAATCAACTAGCGATGGCACCGACACCGAGCCAATATCGTCGTCGGCGCCCAATTTGCTGGGACGACGGCAAAAGCAGCAGTCAATGGAGCTTGATCTCATGCACAGCCATCGACTATCACAAGCTGCCGAAACCGGCCAGCTTACGCCACGAGTACGCAGGACAGAAACTCGTGGGGACTCGGCAAGCTTTTCATATGAGCATCGAGCTTCCTCTGTCTCGGACTCTGGAGATCGTCACCAACATGTGCGGGCCCGTTCGGAGTCGCCTGTTGCGAGACCGGCTACTCTAATAGGGTGCAGCTCTGACATGTCTCTTCGTCCACCCAGCCTCGACTCCCTACCCGCTGCAGCAAGCAGAACAAGTTTACCAGACGTGACACCGTTTGCGCAGTTCTGCCGCACTGCACCGATCTTGCTACGTCCAGAGTCGAGGCAGTCGGTGGCATCCACTGCATCCAAGTCTGCAATGCAGCAAGCAGGCGACTCACTGGAGCAATACATGTCTAGATCCTCAAATTTCGAAGCGCAATCACAGCGAGCAGCACCACCCATTGAAACAGCTATGGCAGCCCAGAAGGCAGTACCAGAAGCGCCGGCGCAAGCGCTGCCAGAGCAACGGACATCATTCGAACATCGCAAGTCCGCAGTGGTGCGTGGTCATGGCTCCGGCTTCGAAATCCTGCGACCCGGCACTTTTGCAGAACAGTCGGTTGAGAAACAGCGGTCCGCGCCGCCTATCAGTCTTTACAACAGTAGCAGCAGCTCGCGGCACGGGTCCAGCAGTACAGATGGTCGCCGAAAGATTCAGAAGAAACGACCTCCAAGTGTTGGATCGGAAACCAGCTCAAGTGGTGGCGGCAGTCGTGATAGTGGGAGATGGAGTCTGAGGAGTTTAGCGTGAAGCTGTGCAGGCGTAGCATGGTAGGAGGTAGGTAATCGATGCAGAGAGGGTGGCTTCACGCAGAGTGAGCACATGTTGTCACTCGGCAAGATGCTCTTGACATTGTCGCGTGACTACACTACAGCATGGCGGAAGGCACATGCAGTTTTCACTCAGACCAATATGCGATGATCGCCGTTCGTGCAAGACTGTGCCTTCGCGATCGGGTCTTCGTATCGCCTCGTTCTCGCTGGAGGTGTCTGAATGCGGAGTCTTGTCTGCGCGTCCATGGCACTTGGCGAGAGACGTGACGCCGTGTGGGAGTGGAGTAAAACGTGATCCCATCAACAGACGTTCGGCTGTGAGCTGCAGAGAAGCAGGCCAGGATACAGAGGGCGAGGTGAAGAAGACCGTTGCAAAAGAAGTAGAGCAGAATCGGCAAGGCGCCGGCCGATAAACACCTCGTCGCTCGGTGCCACCGGAGAGGAGGTATTTCTCGGTCTCCTATCATCACCGAAATGCTCACAATGGTGCAAATCGGCATATCGGACAATTTTTCTTTTCTTCCCGTACAAGCACTATGTATACCTCCCGCAATTGGAATGGCGTTCTTCCTCCGATACTACATGACATACATCACGAGGGCAACCAAGATGACACTCTGCTCGCGCAAGATAAATGCCGAAGGAACTAACATAGATTGCGAAGCGAACCTGTCTACAACTCTGAGTCTGGGCTATCACATCACATACGACTGTGACAAGGAGGAGTCTGGAGAATTCCCCCAATTCCCCCGTGAAGCTGTTCAGGTAAGGTTTGGTACCTTACATATGTGTACCTGGCTTGCCACCGGCTCGTCTAACCGGAGGGAACAAGTTGCCGGCTTGGAGGCGCAGAAGTCCCCTAGCACGTTCGGTACAATTCTGCATACCGTACTTACCTACCTAGGTAAGAATAGGTAGAGTCGGATGGGAGTTATCAGGAGGTACACCCTGTAAGTGGCAAAATATAGGTATTTCGATGTTTTGATCCCGGTGGCGATCAACCACCACGTGCCCTAGGGCTCGGAGGACGGACGCTTGGACCGGCCGGTCCGCCGTTGATGCCCGCTTCACCCCTGGTTGGATTGCCCATAAACGGTATAGCTGAAGCCGCCATCGTGTTCGCTTGTTTTCTGCTATTCTCGGTAGTTCACTTGTGTTGAGTCTCCTCCTTACACTCGCTCGCCTATGCATCTTCCAAGTGAACGTCACAGACGTCAAGACTTCACAGCCCTCCACCTCTTTCTCCAGTGTAGTCTTACGAGCTAACTACTTCTTAGTTCTACCTTTTGGGGTGCTTTCCCGCGGTTGTCATGGGCTGCCTATCGCGATGGCTGTGATTTCTGTCGCTGCTAGGAGGTATTTTAGGCAAGTTCCGCCTTCTCCATATACCTGAGAAAACGCACCAGAAGAAGAAGAAGTAGAGAAAGAAGAAGAAGCAAAGAACCGGTGACTTCGGCGAATCTGATACTGCCTTTCGTACACGCTTGTATGCACAACTGCTGAGGCGAAGAACCGCACTTCTGCAGGAACGCACTTTCTGGAACGCACTTTCTGGAACGCAGTCCGGCCTCCAGCTACTATACCGGCACTCTTGTGACGAACCTGATCACTCCTTAGGGTACAGACGGCTGCCTGCTAGATGGACCCCCGGTATGTCGATGCCATGCCGATACGGCTTGTGACCTGAAATGCGGGTCATCTGGTAGGTAGGCAAACAATATATGAAGAGCGAACTGCTCTCGATTTCAACAGAATTGCTATCCTGCTTCAACATCGCCAGCTCCATCCTCCATCATCCAACAACCTTTCGATTCCAACCAGTCACCTTCGTCACTCCCCCCACACAGTCATCACAATGCGCTACTCAACCATCCTCGCTGTCCTCGTGGCATCTGTTGCTGCAGCACCACTCCCAGCACCACAAAGCCTCATAGGCACCGTCGCTGGCTTGATCCCAGGCGGCTCCGGCGGAAACGGGCCCACCACCACCACTACCACCAACAACAATTCGCCATCTCCTGAAGGCAACATTGGCGACACTTCTCTCGGGGACTTTACTGGCCACGGGGGGTGAGTTAGCAAGCCATAATGCTGTCACGATTCCCCAATCCCCAAAACAGAGTCTAACCCCTCTCTCTCTCTTTTTCTCTCGCAGTTCCGGAAACCCATCCTTTGGTGCGGGTAATGGTGAGTCTTCCGCGTTCTTCAAAATCTCTCCCTCCCCAAGAAAGGAGAGAAGTCGAGCAATGGTTGTCTTGGAACTGATTATGCTGACCATCTCTCTCTCTCTACAGCAAGCGGAGACTCGGATAACGTTTGTCTCTCCCCCTACTTGATACCTCCTGTACGACATGGCAAGTCTGTAGGAATTGACAATGTTTCGACACAGGGAAACGGCAACCCCCTCAGCGGCAACCAAGTCAATGTGGGAGACCTTTCTCCAACTGTCAACATGTGAGCCGCCCTCCTCCTCCTCCTCCTCCTCCTCTCACTTTCATTCGCCCTTCTCTTTTGTACCATTTATTGTACTTGCAAAAGACTGACTGATATTTTGATCTGGTATATAGCCTGAGCAAGGTAAGTGTCTCCGCGGCAGACCCAGACTTTTGATGTCTCCTGTGCAGAATCAGTATCTCATTTTATTGCCTCGATAGGGATCACCATAAGTGGTCGATTCATATGCGGACATCTGTCCAGGAGTGAGAGATCCTTTCTCCTACCTAGTGTCTTTTGCAGGAGTTGGAAGGAGTTAAATTGAGGGAGGGGGTAATGAAGGAGGGAAGCAGCTTGATTTTTGGTGTTATAGGTTGCTTTAGGTAGGCGGAAATAGAGATTGTTTAAGCATATATCTGAACTTGCCCAAGCTCTCTCTAACACTTCGAATTGAGGTTGTTCAAGGGATGTTGGAATTGGGATACTTCCTCCTTCAAGTCGTAGCTCGAAAGATATATCGAAGTGAAAAGGGGAAATAATAATCAAAGAGATTCTACAGTATAGGAATTCCTATTGTACGGCTATCTCAGCTGTTACGATATAGCCGGGGATAAGATGGCTGATCATGACACTGTCGGCCGAGTGTATAGTGTTTGCGTACTGGATCAATTGAGTACAGGTATACTATACTGTTTAATAACCAACGCGTCTAGGATACTCAAAGACAATTATTGTAGGAGAAATATAGTCGACGTTAACTTGAGGTCTGTAGCGACTGTCTGCTACGACTATTCATCTCGAATTACTGTATGTATTCTTTTTGCTCTAATGATTCTTTGATATGTGCTCGTTAGGGCGTATAGCGTGTTCTAGGAGGTATGGAAGAGTGAGAGACCGGTGGTGGTCTAGACTTGGCGTTGACCCCAGCTATTTTAGCGTCTCCGTGGTGAAATTAAGGTTCAGGGTTTTGTTTGGATCGCGTCTCGCGTCTCCCTCCTTTTTACGAGGCACATCACGACTCTTCCCAGACCACATCGCCCATAACACAGCACCACTCACGCAGCATACCAGCACATCCTCGCATATATACTGGCACATACACGCACATCTACAATGGCAGCCAAAGCGGGTGGCTACCTGCAGTTCTTGCAGTCGCCCAGCACCGGAGTATTGGCCAGCGACGCGAGTCTGAGCTACATCACCACGACGACCCAGATCCACGAGCCGACGGCCATTCTGAAGCATTTCGCTGCGCAAGGCAAACAAGTCGTCAAGAAAGATGAGAAGGTTCTCCACATCATCGAAGGCGACAATGGCTGCTGCATCGAGACCGAGACTACGCTCCAGTTCCGCATGGGCGGCGGCGCCTTCTTGCCAAACATGGATTCGAACATGCTCGACGACCGCGAGGTGACATTGCCCCTCACGCATGTGGTGACGTGGGATGGTCAAGGCAAGATTCAACAGATCCGCCAATACTGGGACCAAGGCACACTGCTCAAGCAGGTCGAAGCCATTGGCAAGACAGGCCGCAATTGGCCCATTCGAGAAGGCAAGGAGCAGATCAAGGCAATCGCGAACAGCGTCAAGGGTGGTTCCTCCTCCTCAGATGGTAGCACGACCCAGGCAGCTGCCAATGGTCGCCGTCCCCAAGATGTAGTCATCAGTGGTCACCAGAAACGCGACAGCGTCTCGGTCACTCGCGATCCTCACGCGAGCTTGTCTCTCTTTGCAGAACGCGATCCGAATGAGGGAGGTAGTACATACAGTGGACCAAAGTACGCAGCGTCCAAATCTGCAAAGCCAGCTCCACGAGATCTTGGGGAGCTGTTCACCAATGAGGAGCCGATTGCTGAGTCCCGGAGCCAGTCGCCGCACAAGCTCAAGGCTGGTGCAGGCCAGGGATTCAAGGAGAACCGCCTATTCGACACTAAGGAAGATCTAGAGCCCCCACGGTCGCCCGAGCGCAAGAAGACTTACACACAGAAATACGACCACTTTGCCTTTGGTGATGGGGAGGATGCGCCACAAGGCAAGTCGATTCGTCCCGGGAAGACCGGCGGGACGGGTGCACAAGACAAGTCCTCGGCCACCTTCAGCTTCGAAGACTTTGCGACTCCACCGAAGCACGTCCAGAAGGACAAGCCCGACTATGAACGTCATTGGGGCGCGGGTGTTGACGAGGTGTGTATGCTGGTATGTTCCCGATCATGCTCGTGCTGACTCCGTTACAGGAAGAACCAGAATCTCCACCCAAGCGTCCAGTTGTGCACCAGCCACGCAAGGATGCCGACATGCATTGGGAACTCAACGACGACTCTCCGGCTCCCACCAAAGCCAAGTCTTACCAGCGACAGAAAGGGTTGGGTCTGTATGGTGATCCTCTGCACGAAGACGATCGTGTCAAGAAGGCTCCTCAAAAGCCCAATGTCAACAACGCACGTCGTGGTGACGACTTCCAAGCTCACTACAGTCTGACTGATAACTCCCCCGCTGGCGACAAGAAGATCTACAAGACTGCTGGAGATGGTATGGGTTCGCGATCCGGCGGACGTGCATGGGGCATTGGCGACGGTAATGATACACTTGTACACCAACGACTCACCTGCTAACATATCACCCACAGAGAGTGACCCTGAGATCGATGCTGACGTGCGTCCTAGTGCCCGCAGCAGAGGAGGGCGTGGTGCACAAGCGCGAACGGGAGCCGAGCTGGACTTTTGAAGATGTGCTTGACAAATCAGTGGCTGGCGAAGCAATGACTCCCAACAAACGAGCTTGTATGGCGACTCCCGACAAACAATAAATGATCGTCACCCCGACAAGGTCCGTTTGCAGGCCACTTTTGACGACCACTTAACTTTGACTATGCGCGATATGTGAAGCAGCAAGACGGGAGGTGATGTCGGACACTTTGTAGCGTCATCTATCAGTTGCAGTGCACGAGAGATGGATGAATGGATGGATGGATTGATGGATTGATACCCACTACATGCTATCACGAATGGGACTGGCTACTAGTGCACGTGTATTTTGAGCGCCGTTTTTTCTTTTGACATGCACATGCCTTTTTCGACATGTTTCGGTATTGAACGATGTTCTTTCCATACTACCTACTTGCGAATTTCAAGTTTTGTTTTGTTCCCGATGTCAGATGTCAGATATGACTGACTAGGTTGTTGATTGATGTTAGAGTGCTGTCTGGTTGTTCTGGATTGATCTGGATTGATCTGGTTGATCCGGTTGATCTGGTTGTTTTAGTTGTCCTGGTTGATCTGGTTGATCTGGTTGTTCCGCTTATCTACTTATTCTGTTCATCTACTTGTTCTGTCATCTAACTCATCTACTTGTTCTGTCATCTAACTCTCCAACTCAGCTCTAGCATCTACATTCTTTTTTTTCTATTGTCCCTTCGTTCTCTTTTCTTTTCTCTTTTGCCTCCAAGATTTTGAAGACCAAGGAAGAAAGACCAAGGAAGAAAAGTTCAGGTCAAGTAATCAAATCAGTAGAGGGAAAGCCGAAAGCCTCAAGGTGAAGAATGTAATGAACGCAGAGTGGAAGGTTGGGAGTGAATTGACTGATTGATTGAGGGTTGAGGATTGAAGATTGGGCGGATTAGGTGGGTAAGGTAAGGTAAGGTGGTTTGCTAGGCGGATATCTATGATCTATGATATATCAGAGGGGTTGTTGAATGGGTGTCTTGTCTATACTGAGAGGCCGAGGGTTTTGAAAGAGGGAGAGAGGGGGAGGGGGGAGAGGGGGAGAGAGAGAGAGAGAGAGAGAGAGAGAGAGAGAGAGAGAGAGAGGGTAGGTAGGTAGT